AGGTATGCGGCGGTGATCGACCCTTCCTGGCCCCCAGTGAACTGCAGGCCCGACACGGCGTCATCAGGGAGGAGGCGCTGCAGGTGTTCAAGGGGGTGAAGAAGATGGGAGGCGAGGAGTTCAGCCGTCGCTACCTGCAGCAGCTGGAGGGAGAGATCGACGAGGTCTTCGTCCAGTACATCAAGCACAATGACTCCAAGAACATTTTCCACGCGGCCCGCACGCCGGCCACGCTTTTCGTGGTCATCTTTGTCATGTATGTGGCAGCGGGCATCACGGGGTTCGTGGGCGTGGACATCATCGCCAGCCTGTGCAACATGATCCTGGGCCTGGCACTGATCACTCTCTGCACCTGGGCCTACATACGCTACAGCGGAGAGTACCGAGAACTGGGCGCCGTCATCGACCAGGTGGCTGGTGCTCTGTGGGACCAGGTAGGCCTGTGTGCCACACGTGGCCCAGACACTAGCTCAGTGTTGCTCAGTCTGTGCTCATTTCAGAATCGTATAGTGCGTGGCCCAGACACTAGCTCAGTGTTGCCCAGTCTGTGCTCATTTCAGAATCATGTAAAACTAAGAGAATCATAATTGGAGAATAATCTAAAATGTCTACAGTAGAACAGACGAATGCAACACTCTCTGTTGCAATGTAATTTTAACCCTACATCGCATCAGTTGCATTTTTGAGCCACGTCACATATATATCATCAGGAACAAGCCCACACACCACCAAACAAAAATCTCAAAAAAGTATATGTAATTAAATATAATAATCTTCTAGTTTAAATGACTTCAAAGTTGAGTTGAAGACAACACTGATATACTGGCAGGAATTCAAGAAAGGCACACACAGAGATTTCTTTTTTTTTAGCTTTAATAGCTATCCACTGCCTCCTAGCAGAAAATGTCATTGCTCTGCCTGTCACACATTGACGAACAAAGAAAAAATATTTGCAATAAATTAATAATAGTTAGACCAATAATAGACCAATTGAGTGACGTGAGATAATTTTCGGTGTTGGGAATCACTGGTTCAGAGGTGTTAGCAGCAACACTTAAGCCGTACAAATAAAAATATATCTTGACATGTTGTCTGTCGGTCACTAGGTGGCAGTAGTCGCATTAAAAATACTTGCAGAAAACACTTGGTACATTTTACATTACAGTTTGCCAATGGGCACATGCTTAGCGTCATGTGTTACATGACATGTATGCATTTAACGCTGACACAACACGTATGTTTGTCCCTTTAATGCTACCGTAGGGGAGCACCAACGAGGTAAGAGTCTTTTTAACGTTTTTGTAACTGTGGTCCACGTGACACGTGGTGTTCACTGGGCTGTTTTTGTTATTGAAAATATGAGACAAAAGCCTTCACCAGAGATGGCGCCCTATAGGTGCAGATAACAGACGTGTGTGACCACAAAGTTGGATCAAGTGACAAATAGATCATCAGAGTTTAACGCCTTCAATTACTGTAACCTCTGTAACCCCCCACAGGCTCTCTACAAGCTGTACAACGTAGCAGCCAACCACAGGCACCTGTGTCACCACGCCTTCCCTGGACCGCAGGTGGACGAGGCTGCCAACGAGCAGAACAAGAAGAGGAACTGATCAGATCTGGACAGAACATGGCTCGGACTTTCAGGTGAGGAACAAGCAAGAGGAGAAGTAAAGGGAGGAGGAGGTGAAGAAGAAGGCAGTAGAGGAAGATGAGGAGGAGGAGGAGGAGGAGGGACATCCTCACTCATCAGGCTCTCTTTAATCCTGGTGTTGGCACTGCCCACCAATACAGTCACTACTTAATAAAGGACTGTTAAATGTTCACGTATAAGCAAAGGTTTCTGCTGGATAACGCGAGTCGTAGTGTGTTGATTTTTGTCTGTGAAAACTCAAGTGTCCATGTTGGGATACAGCAAGTCTGTCAGCGGAAACGTCAACATGTCCAACGATCAGTCTGCTCCTCTTCTGTTATCATCATTATTATTGTTATTCCTGATGCAAGTTTCTCTTCAAACCTGTGATTCCTCCTTCATGACTGTTCTCTGATGTTTAGCACTGATTATAAGAAACACTATCTAGGATCTGACACTTTGAATAATGTTGACTAATGGACCATCAGCATGGTCAGTGGTCCATGTCCTTCATCTTTCATTGCTGAACCCAGGTACGTTTAATGTAAGAGTTTACTTTGAAATGTTGTGATAAAGTGATATTGTGCCATAACGTGTAAAAAGTGATTGTTCATCCACAGCAGCCTGGCACACACAGACACACAGACACGTCTACAGGGGATTCTGGAAGGAGACGTTTACATTAAGCAACATGAGCAACAGACGGGAACAACACTTTGTTATTATCCTAAGTCTGAGTGGTAATTGTATTTTATTTTTAAATTGCACGATGGCAGTTTTGTCCAAAATCTGTTTTTTCCCCCTAACTTTTCAGCAAATCCTAAGTTGAGGAGAGTGTGTTTGACTATCTCACTGCATAAATCTAGTGACCCACCATCATAGACCATTGTAATGAACTAGACGTCACTGTCTGGTTGTCAAGTGTGGATATAAAGGGAGTCTGAGTCTCAAAGGAGTCTGAAGAACTTCGGTGGTTTTGAAAGGGAAGTGAATAAAAAAAAATTAGGCCAAATGATTCATTTTTAGACTAAATTTTCATGTCGGTCTAATCCTGTTCAAAGTTAATCTGATGAAATTATAATTGAAAAGATGTAAATTGCATTGTAAAAATGCCTGCAACTTTCATTTGAGACCACAATTTCTTCAGAAAAAAATCCTGGATATACATATGTATAGATTCTGTGGAGCTTCACTGATGACTGGTCCACTCACTGTACCCCAGAGTTCAGCCTTATGACTCACTTCTGGGCCAATCCCCACTAGTTGAAACACACTGGTTCACACAATAAATCCTCCTATATTTCCCACTTTACACTTTGGTCATCGTGTGTGGTTATATCTAACACCTCCTCCCAGTCACCCCCTATATGTGTGAGCGATGACCTTGGTCTGAGGTCAGGAGGAAACAGCCAGTTCAGTTTCCATTGTATCGACTGAAAACTATTGTTGTTTTCGTACTAAGCATTCGAGCAAATCCGAGGAATGTAGACTCGGTGTGTCCACCAGGAATCCTAGCTGTTAGATGTTATGAGGCGGGGCAACACAGACAGACCTACTTTTCGGAAAAACGATCCTCATTCCTCATCTCTTTCATCATCTTCACACACTAAGTTGAATCATCTGTGGTGAAGCAGGCCGGGCCCTGACTGTGTGTGCAGCAGCTTATGTTTGCAAACAAAAGGCTTCTATCAGTGACGGCACAGTTTTGTGTTTGACTTTCTGGGCTAAGCTGACTGTTACTGTATGTTTGTACATGTGTGGTTACGGTCTGTCTTTTTTTTTAAATATATTGTCCTCACGACGCATTATGTCACATTCAAAGAATTTAGCTATGGTTTTTCCGTTGCTTTCAGCAGGCATGGGAGAATATTTGTATTTGCTGTGGTGATAAATGTGCTTCGGGAATTATTTATTTGATTGATATTTGTAAGAAAAAAAATAGCATAGTTTTCAGACTTGTTTTTTTTAAACATAGGTAAACAAGGGCTGAAGTAATAAATCTGCCTTGGTTTGGGTGTAAGCGCCAACAATGAACAATGACAGCAAAGCTTTTATGTGTTAAACAATATCTGGAAATTTTCAGGATTGCATAAAAAGGAATTAAACTTTGTCGTCCTCCAAAAAAAAAAAAAAAGTACATTCTGCATTTGTTGTTCAGAGCCTTAAAAAATTGAAAACAACAGCGACACCACACCAGCCTCTGAAAGCCTCATTCACACAGAGCTCCTCAAATCCCATAAGTAAAAAGTTCAGTTGTCTTTTGAGCTAAACAGGAAGTAAGAAAGTTCAAATGTCAAAGTTTTCCCCCCTGGGGATCAAAAAGTATTTCTGATTCTAATTCTGATCTGATTTGGTGGGAATTCTCTTCAGACGCTCTCTGTCTGCATAGAAGTTTAATGAGTAAATATACATTGATCTGTGAATGTCTGCGTGTTAAACAGCTGCAGCAGAGAAATTCTTTTTTTTCTGCCTTTCTGCAGAGTACAGAAAACACTGTCATGCGTATTTAGCAAGTTTATACTGAGGTTTGACCTCAACGCTTTAAGATTTGAAGGCACTGCAGCCTCGTGGCTTCTGGAGTCTTCCACAGTGTATAATCAGCATCAGTGAGGCCTTCACACAAAGAGCCATCTAGGTCCACTTTAAGATCCGTGAGGTTTTCCAAAGCCCCATTTCTTCATGAATTTGTTGGGAGTGTTGTATCCATTAGCGTTCAGATGAAAAGAGAAGTGGAACATGTGGAAGTACGGCAGCAAAGTTATTCTGAATTGGAAATGTCCATCAGAAGGAGGAGGAAACGTGGATTTGCCTTTTTTTCTTTGACTCAGGAGATTATTTCTACCACGGCTCTTGTCAGCATTTACATGCTCTGTACTGAATGATCAAGTGAATGAACCTCGTCCAGGTCAACACCGCTTTGTTTCAGCACATGTACTGCAGACGTTCAGTTACAAATAAATAAATAATGTTGGACCAAAGTACTGGAAACTAGTCTCAAGTCTCCTTTTAAATACTTTCCTGATCCTCCTCCAATGTCAGATCCAGAACCTCAATGTCCTTCATTGAATCCTTGAATTTGTTCCGGTGTCTTCCTGTTTCTTTCTTCCTGGCAGCTCCATCTTTATAATGACCACCGAGCACTCAGCACATTCCCAACCTCCTCAGACGTCTCTGTGACTTTATCTCCAAACTACTCGACCTTAGTGGTTGGCTGATTAACTTCCAATCCTGGTAACTCACAATTGAAATCTCAAGATCTTCAACTGTCTGTTAGCATTGCAAAACCTGCCTCATGTACTTTTCTGCCACTCCTGCCATTTTATATGGTACCACACTCTCCTCATTGACCGTGACTTTTCTTGTCTGTTACCTTAGCTTTAATTGTGTAACTTTTACAGAGTTACACGGACTCAACAACAACCTCGATAAGCAGCAACAGAGTCAAACAAGTTTGAAGATTTGTCTTTATTCACCGCAGTTTTTATCGTTTTATTATTATTCATGAAATCCACAAAACGAGATATGTACAAACTGGTGAAACCATTCTGAGAGGATGAGATGGAGACCTTCTTGCATAGTGAAGAACTCTTGAGGTGGAGTCACAACGTTCCTTGAAAACCTATTTTACTGATACCAAAAAGGCCACACACTCCTAGGACACGTAGAAAGGTATATGTCTTTTTGAAACATACAAAATAGATATTTTATTCTTTAAAGCTATATTGTTTTTTTTTTACATTAGTCGTTCCTTCCATTTTAAAAACCAAAGCAGGAGAATATCATCCAGGTTCTCTGAACGTCTTAGAAAAGATTAGATAATTAATATTCAATAGAATAAGCTTTCAAGAACCTCTCCTTCCACAATAATCCGCAGTTAAACAGACGTGTCGGTGACGAAAGAATGAAATAAGAAGAAATCGAATTGCACTTGTTTGGTAAACAAAGTGTCTCTTCTGTAGTGTTTCAGTTCCAGTAGCTTATTTATGTTTATTTTTTTATACACATCGACAAAATAAAATTCCTGACAGTAATGCCGAGGAGTCAAGAGACGCTCAAGGCACTGCATCAACTTTGATGCTTCATCCATTAAAGGGTCTTTTAAATAAAGACGCATTTCATATCAAAACTTAAATATCTGTTACACGTTTTGGTGGATTGTCTTATAAAGCATACAGTCTGTCATTTAAAAATAAAAACAAAAACACACAATTTTTTGTGTCACATAAAAAGACTGGTTTCAGTTTATGAGGGTAACAAAGCAAAAGGGGGAAAAAAAGGATTTCATTTTGGGGGGACAAATTAGAAGAAGCTGCCGCTCGTTTTCTCCCACAGGAAAAAATGACGGAGTAGCTGGCGTCCACACCTAAGAGCAGACATTGTAAAAATGCTGCATTTATTTATTTTTTTGAAAGGCACAATGTTGTAGTGTTTTGAGTTAAAATGTGGACTCTAGTCTTTGAAAGTCCATACAGCCAGTTGTGGTCCTCAGGGCAGTGGCTGTAAATGGCACCGTGAGTGAGTTTCCCCAGATTTTTCCTTCTTCATTTGTGTTTTCCAATAACGTGGACCTTCGTAAACTGAGTGTCCATTGCAGGGAAGGAGCACCCCTCCCCCCCGCCTCCACATGCCAACAAGTGTTTTAACTTCCTGGCTGATATATTTGGATCAAGTGAAGGCACAGATGTGTTTGGTAAAGAGGCAATTTGGAGTCAATCACAATTTGAAAGGAGACTGTGACCGCTCCCAAACTATAGAAACCACATGGGGGCGTGGTGCTGCAGCTTCCCGGGGTGTACATACGGTATGTGCATGGATCACATGTTCCCCATGAAGTTCTTGTTGGGCTGCTGTGTGTACCACTGCTGCCGCTGTTTGCGCGCCTCCACTTCTGACAGGAGCGCCTGCCGGTATGCTTCATAGGATTTGACGATGTGCTCCAGCTCCTTCATGAAGAGCAGCTTCAGCATACCCTGGTACGTGTCCAGGTCTGCCAGCTGGAACAACTCCCATTTCAAGATATGGTCGTACCTGATGTGAGAGGGAAGAAACCGATGGTAAACGTCTGTGTTGCTGTGCCAATGTTGCTTTGATCGGACAATGAGGGCGAGCGCAAGTAGATCCAGAATGTTTTCAGAAATCTTTTGGGTTTTCCTCTCGTTTTGCATTAAAGCTTAAACGTAAACAGACACCTAAGGCCTTCAGTGGTGAGTGCTGTATCAATTAGAGTTTGCTTCGGTTGAGACCAGAGCAGCAGACATTATTACGTTATTATTTTGAAGTCGTAGTCCACCCTGGGCTCACAAAAATAAGTCACTTGGACGAGATCTCAAACATATTGGATGCATTTATGTCAGTGATGATGTTGCACCTGGAATGGATTTCCAGAAATTCCTGATGTTGCACCTGGAATGGATTTCCAGGAATTAGAAAAAACATAAAACATAAAAATCACTTTTTTTTAATCTCCTATTATGACCCATGTTCACACGTTCACGTGAACTACATCCGTGACGGGGCCACACACGTTCTTGTTTCAGCTGAAACGATCACTACGAGTGTGAAGACATGTTCAATTCCCCTGCAGCACTGTGGAGGACACTTTCACAATGGCTGACACTACAGTTGAACTGTAACTGGAATGTGAGCCAACACATCAGTCACACGGATAGAGCTTGAGGAATCATGGGACCGCTGAGACGGGGAAAACCTGCAGGAAGTTCCTTCATCCCAACGGACTAGGTTTTAAATGCTGAACTACTTCATTCTGTTCAAGGCATTTGTGACTTCAGCAAAAAGGACAAAGATGTCGAAGGTCTTTGAACAGACCCAGTGATAGTTGAGATTTAAAAAACTTTAAATTCTTTTATTAGGATCTGCTGAGTTTGTGTTTATTGAAATAAAATCCAAGATTCAAGTTGGAAATCATACGACTTATCCTCTCTTTTTTTTGAAGCACTGAATCACAAGAGTCTGATGTGAGAGTGCTGTGTTCACATACTTGTCTGTGTAGGATAAAAAACGTGATTGTTTGGCCACTGGAGTGAAGGTCACAGTCACAGACAACAAGAAATGTACATGTGTGTTTTTCACAGTAAATAAAAGGTTGTTTCAATTCCTCTCAAGACTACGTCAGATGAAGACAAGGATTCTATGAAATTGAGAGGAAACATTTTTCCTAACAATCGCCCTTCTGACTAAACCCTGTTGTTTTTTTGTCCATGTGTGTTCATGGTACTCACTTGAGTGGGGCACGGGCGTAAACCTGGAGCCAGTCCGGGATTTCGGCTGTGTGATACGGGTTCGCTGGCACCAGCACCGGCTGGTTCCGCTCTGCAGGACGTGGTTGATAGGTCACAGGAGGTGGTAGAGGAGGAGGTTGATCGTAGCGAGGCACACTGGAAAATAGAACAGTAAGTATCAGCAGTAGGATTTAGTCCACTTGCAGTGGATAGACAAGGTCTCAGACCAAGTGTTTTCAACACCACCACAGTGGAAGGATTACATTTGTATTTATTCTCAAAAGGATAGCTGGTCTGTTGTGATTACGTTTTGCAACCGTAGAGGACTCTAACCCAACATCATCGTACCTTGGAGCACACGGATGTCGGTACTGTGCCCTCTTGTTGATGTGATCCACGTAGTAGACCCCAAACTCAGCTGACTCCACCTTCTCCCAGCCCGGGGGGAGCCCCTCCCTCTCTAGAGGGTGGCTCCAGTGCGTAGTGTTAGTGTTGTGGTCGATGTAGTACTTCCTGCCACGGATGGTCCAGTCGACGGTCCAGCCTGCTGGAAGTGGGAGGTCCTCTGCTGTTAGACTAGAGAGGTTCCCCAGGGATTTGGCCTGTATCCGACCTATTCCTGAAGAAAACAAACATTTTTTTTCTTTTTTAAACACATTAAAAGGGAGAGAGAGCAAAGTCTGAACAAACACACAGCAGAGCAGCTGCCAAGGCACAGAGCCTCTGGGGAGCTGAAAAATATTTTTGAAGGAATCTGAAAAACAGCATGTGTGGGAAAATGTCATTTAAAGCAACGGAATGCAAAGCTTTCCACAGATCCCTCAGATGTGGTAATTGTACATACAGCAAGACAGGAATGCAATGAATCACTTCTTAAGGCATGACTGATGCAGCTCTGAGTCAAAGAGTTGCTTCATCTCTCTGACTTCGATACTGTGTGAGGGACCATCACCATTTGACCGACATCTTTTAATGAATAGTAGGAAATGGGAGTGTTGTTAAGGTTTGGACAGGAAGGCCCACATCTCTGTATGGACAGACTCTCTCTCTCTTAAACACACATGCACACACAGACACACACTGATGAACTCTTAAACACCCTCCAAGAGCAGACAGCCAACTGGAGCTCACTCCAAAAGGCCCCGGAATTCTAGAGGTGAAATATGTCAGTGAGGAATGTTGAATCTTGAGCTTTGAGAAAAAGTACTGTGACTCCAACTGAAGGAGCCTGTAGGGCCCCTGCAGAAATGGTTGAAAACACACGAGAATGTGGGAGGAATGAAGCATCTCAGCAAAATGGTCGCTAGCATCTGATAAATTCTGCACCAGAGTGACAGCAACGGAGCAAAGGAGCTCTTTGGCAGTGGCTGAAGGACGGACGGAATGTGTTAGAACTCCACAGAAACTGGACTCTTTCTCCGCCTTCTAATAAGCCTCGCCACCTCTCATCATCATCATCATCATCATCATCATCATCATCATCATCATCATCATCATCATCATCATCATCATCATCATCAAACCGAGACACACTGTAGACTTAAAGATGACAGAAAAACTGTACTGGGTCAAGCCAAGCCAAAAGGAGATGACTTCTTTCACTACTGTCCTTGAGGAAGTTGACCTATGACCTGTATATTAATTACACATAGATAATGAATTGTTTTCACAAACAAATTAAAATTAAATTATTATTTCTATGTATTTTTTATCAGCTGAGACATTGTCTCAGATATTTCAGCATAGTTATTGTTATTGCTTCAAGTACACATTGTGAAGTCTGAACCGACTCTACACCTCTCCACAAAATGTGGCAACAACTATTACAGGTAACACAGTAGTTGTGTTACCTGTAATAGTTAACAGTAGTCTTTATCCCAGTAGCTTTATATCATTGGGTATAAGAAGATTACTAAATCCTGACTCATGGCTCATTCTGGATAATGAAGCACAGCACTGATTCTATCATTTAGAAATCAATTCAGTGTTCAAGTGTGTGTGTGTGTAATGTCAACAGTTACATTGTGTTTCATCATGCTGCAGAGGTAAGACGGAGCCTGACAAGTATCCAAACAGTTGGACATACCTCGGTCCTGTTTGGCAGCTTTTGTTCTGCTAAAATGATCACCCTTCACCACAGAGATGGACCGGTTGAACACAGTGGTAAAATTATCCATCTTCTCTGTCATTCTTTTAGACCTTTACACTCTCAATGAGGTGATCAATCATTTTGGTTTAATCTCATTTTAAACTGACAGCATTAAATGAACACTTTTACAATGACATTTTACCACAAATTGTGCTTAGCTTAGCAAGTTCCAAATGGTTGTTCTACGGCTAAGATCACATCGCAAGAAAATTACTATGACTATGAAGTATGTTATGGAGAATTATTTTAAACCAAATCAAATAAAAAGAAAATCCCTTTCCCCCAATCTCTAGGATGATCTTTGCTGACGCTGTTGCTCAGGAGGCGTTTGGCATTTTCCTGCAGAAGATCAGTAAAGAGGGTTGTCCTGATGTGCACAGATGATTCAGTGAGTGTAGTGAGCAGAGGCTGAGGCTGAGACATTTGACCAGGGGACGTTTGCCAGCAGTTAGATTTAGTAAACAGAGAGTTGAGAAATGCAGAGACCCTAATGGTTGTTTAAGGGCACTCCGGACAGGTCTGCACTAAGACATGTGACGGACAGGCCAGATATTAAACTAAACAATGTACATGAAGCTAACGAGTCTACCAGCAGCTAAAGTAAAAGGTTCCCTAGCGTTGAGAGTGTGCTGGAAAATTCCAGTGATCCCGGAAACATTCAATGCAACTGAAGTTAACCACTGATGTTACACTTCAGTTAGCACTCATACTCTACTTTACAACATAGAACTGTCTGACAGAAGGTGATAAACGGTTCCTAAGACATTCTTTTACTGACTTGTTTTTTCTTTCGCTCTCATAACCACTACCAGCCTGCATCCAATTCACAGATATCACATCATGAACACAACATTTATCCAAGACTTTGGTGATTGGGTGATTTTTAGCTGTAAACCAGATAGCTTGACACAAGAAATCACTTTTGTAACTGACTGTAAGTCATTGGCTTTGGTCAGATGTTTTATATCATAACTATGGTTGTAAAATAGTCTTTGTCTACATAATCACTAGGTAGCTGTGGAGTTATCACAAGTAATCGGGACTGTAATAAATGAAGAATAGTTATGGCTAATCTGTATAACTCATAGTTAAATATGATTAAGAAATTCTGTATGAACTGGAGCAGAAAGACAAACCACAGCAGGAAGATGTGTGCTTTCAGACCTATTTTGTGACTTACTCAAATGATAGATTAAGATGGAAAGAAATCTAGGAAATATATGCAAACTGTAACTGCATAACGGCAACGTAAAATGTTACTGCAGAGAGCTGGTATCTTTTTTAGGTCATTGATGTTCATTTCGACAGAAGATTGCTAAATGCTCATTGGCTCACTTGTCCTTATATAATGCTGGGGTCAGTTAAAAATGTAATCATCGCTGCTTTATTTCCACAAGTTATATTAAAAAATGTGTGTAAAATTAAGGAAGACTGTCCTTGAATTATTAATACAACCCATTGTATTGTTCCACAAGGCAAAAAATGGAACAGAAAAGAAAAACATTTGTGTTTACCTGAAGGGGGTCTGCTTGGAGCTGGAGGAGTGTGCTGTCGGGGGATTCTTTGGAAGTTATGTTCATTGTGCTCATAGAATCTAAAGTCCTCAGGAAAGCGCTCAGGGACCCTCCTGGGCTGCTGGCGCTGCTGCTGTTGGTGCTGCTGCTGTTGGTGTTGCTGAGTGTCATAATAAGGTTCAGAAGAGTAATAATAGCGGGAAGGGTCTCCGTTCTCAGACATGGGGCTCACGTCTGTGAGGAAAGACTGAGTGGAACCTCCGTACTCATGCGGGAGGTCACCCAGGCTGCGAGGCAGGTACGGTGGTGCTGACATGCGGTGGCTCTCTCTCCGGGCCACCTCGTGTGGAGGCCTCTGTACAGGAGTGCGCAGGAAACTCTTGTTGCGGGATACAACGGGATCCCGGTTAGGAGGAGGGTAAGCAGAGGGCGCCATCTCAGGTAGAGTGACCTCTGTGCGTCTGGGAATGGTGGGTCCATGGCGAATAAATGATGGCATAAGATCTGTAAAAAAAAAAGTTAGGTTAGACTAAAGTGTCTAGACCTGGGACACTTCAAACTACAATCAAATCTTAGACCTGGAAGATGCAAGGTCATGTTTGAGCTTTAGTAATAATGAGGTACGTTTTAACTGATAGTGTATATTTAAAACATGTTTTCAACCATCTCTAATAGATACTAACACATACAGGTAACCACCAATAACACTGGGATAATTGCATGTCATCCTGCAGTCAAATAGCATCTTTTGTTGACAGTCCAGACTTTTCTGATTCAAAGATATTACAGTCAAGAAAGGAGAATTCCAAAACAAAGCTGTCAAGCCGAGTATTGAAATACTCAAACTACATATTTAGAAAATGGCACAGTACAACAAATACAGAAAGGAGAGCTTTGCAATTTACTCATTGTTTTGCTGATTCCAAAATGAGTAAGCTGTGGTTCAAATTGATAACATTCAGACTGCAGCATGTAACCTGGTACTTTAAGGAGTGGGAGAGTGATTGCCAGTTTGAACCCCAGCCCCACAAAAATCCCCAACTTTCTGGGTGAAGTACAGTGCAGCCCACTGCTCCTACTGAAAGGACATATATTTACGTGTGTGTACAGTGATAAATAAAGCTGCTTCTGCTGTGGTGATGAAATGACTATAGCACAGAACTCCTCTTTTCTGTGGAGCTGTGCACCAAACAGACAGGACAAATGACATGAATTAATGTGTTTATAAGGGCTACAATGATCAACTGTCATTGTGCGATAGTTGATGACTAATATCTGTTTATCTACAACTAATTAATATTTGATTAATTAATTTTGATCACTAATAATTTGTTTCAGTGTTATTTAATGTACAACAAGTGGTTAGCTTCCTTATAACGTTTTGCGACTTTTTTTAATCAGGCGAGTTTCTTTTTATTGCAAACTAATATACAAAAATTTAAGGATAGCTGTACGCAACCGCTAGGGACCCGCCACAAAAAGGACAAAATAATGATCACGATAGTCTGTCAAAGATAGGTACACAAATGACTTAAAGCAAACATTCTGGTTACCGTTATCTCCCATATATCCATAAAAACTTTGCTACTGCAGCTCATACTGAATCAGAACAACACTGTGCTAGCAAAAAGCTAATTACCAGGCTAAAACACATAGTAAACAGTTAATTAAAGACTTGAGACACAATCCCCGAGTTAAAATGTCTTTAGATTTTCAATGTCGTATGTTTGTCATTGTGTGTTAGCTCATTTTTACTTTAACTTTAGTTCAAAGTAAACTCCTCTTTGTCCGGCTAACAAGCTAATGGCAGCTAGCGGGCTAACTCTGGCTAATGTACTTGTTGCGCGTCTTACTTCGGAGCAGCGGCGACGTTTCCTTTTTCACATATTTCCCCTGGACCTCCGCTGGTTTCGACGCTTCGTTTTTGCTTTTCTTTCTTGAGAGCATTACTCACGGCTCATTAATGTGGAGGAAAAAGTCAACAATAACAGCAGCTAACAGTACAAGGCGTCATTTCGTGGCACAACCCGGACTCGACTCTTCTGCCGCCGCTGTGGGAGCTCCGTTCACTCAGCGAAACGCGTAAAGCGGTCATCTTTGAAAACTTGAAAGCTTCTCCCGTGAGAAGTACGGGGGTATCGTCTAGAAAAGTCTCCGGCAGCAGATACTAGAAGCATCCGTCTTTCGGTTGTAGGGATCCAGCCCGGTTCTGTAGCTATACTAACTCCTAGCACTGGTCCTCCTCCTTGGGACTGGTTAGTCCTCAGAGTCCTGCCCATCACTGTCTCCAGCAGCCGCACAGCTGAAGCACTGTCCAACACAGGGATGTAGTGTCAGATTTGCAACCAGTAGTCGGTTGGTAACGATTTCAAACATCTCAGATACTCAGTATGAATAATAATAATAATAATGATAATAATAATAATAATAATAAAAACACAATAGAAGCAGTTAACAAGTACTTCTTTAAACAGGAGTAATGACTTAGTTAAAAGCACATTCCACTCACCCTCAGGGCATCAGGGTTGATCAGTCAGTACCATCAGTAGCATATGTGGGGAAACCTTTTTTTAAATTCCAAATACCATCTGGAGATTCTGTTTACAGACTCCATGGTGGTCTCCAAACATGGAAGCTTTCAGTCCATCACTTTCCCCAGCAAACACAACACGAGGATGTCAGGAAAACTGCAAGTACAACTGGATCCTTTGTTATTCACTCTGTTGAGAATGCTTTTCACATAGTTTGAGTAAAAATATTAAGCAGGTCAATCTCAGTAATATTTCCCACGTCACCAAGGAGACACGTTTAAAACCAGCATCTATTTATATTGAGTAATTTAATGTTTCCATGTGTTGTTTACAGTTTATTGATAAAAGGTGTTTATACTGGAGCAAAGACAAAGTTCTTCATTTCATCCAGAAACATTCACAATGATCTGACCTTCACGTGAACACCTGCACTTTAGACACTGCAACAGAAAACACTGTATGATTCTATTTAGACAGAAATAAAAATCCTTCCCACAGACATCCAAAGTGGATGTAAGTCCAGGTAGTGTTAAAAAGAGAGCAAACACCTCAGAAACACTTTTGAAGGTATGCTCTGTTGTGCAGACAGTTACTTTAACATGATCAAAACAACACTTGCATAAAAAGCACATTACAGTTAAACTTTTCTCCCTCGGGAGAGTTGTATACATATTAATATACTAAAACGATACTGCTTTAAAAAAGAATATTAATATAATAAATAAACCCTTAAATACAGCAGAACCTTCACATTTAGTTCTTCATTGGTCCAGCTCATTTAAGTAAAACAGGTACAACACTGCATAATTAACAGTTACATTTAAAATGAATACACAATAAGGCAGCGGACATGACAATACATAATATATCACAACAATAACAGTGCATTTTAAATGTCAATTTGGAGTAGAGCTGTAATCTCCCAGTGGACTGGTCCATGTGTTCTGGGTCGACAAAAATTCTGATTGGTGGTTTTTTTGTTTTTTTTTTAATATATTGTACTGTTAATTTCATCTGGAGGAAAGTACCAAATGCTAATGGGGGGTTTTTCAGAGCACCTGTTTCACAGGTAATAATACGTCTTCAGAACGACCCCCATGTTTTCACTATTTTGGATTAGATTATTAATGCAATAGAATAATAGTCTTCAGGTTTATTTATAATTAATTAAGGCGGACAAGGCTAATGAGCACTGTGTTACCCCCTCGCCCACGGTGATTACTCAATTTTCAGTCTAAATTTCAAGACTTCAGTCGACCAAGACTTTCTTTGGTTGATTACAGCCCTACTTTGGAGAGCTAAGAATATCCTCTCTCTCTCTGTGTTTATTCCAACACACTATGATGAGTTCTTGTAGTGATAAGGCAGAGACGAAAGCTGTGTCGGATTCAAGTCCCGCACTATTTTGTTGAGACTGCATATTTTCTCCTCCAGCAGGTAGTTCTTCTTCTCTGTGAGCTTCTGTCGCTGCTCCGTTATCTCCAGAGCCTTCAGCAGCTGAGTGTTCTCCACATACAGGTCTTTGATCAGAACATCTGCTTTGCCGTTCTTGTTCAGCTGTAAAGTCAGGAAGATGATTACATCTTCAGGTTGCATCACTGACACGTTCAAGGTAAGCTTTAGAGATGAGTGTCAGAAATAAGCTTATGCTCAGAGAGAGATAACCGTAGCTTGTCAGACATCACCCTTGATCTTCCCAAGAGGGGCATTTAAATGGCCTCAAAATCACACAAAGAGCTTTTGCTTAGTTCGGCTACTGTAGCAGAGCATTCAGAGCATTTAATTTCAGTCTTCTTTGAAATTAAATCCTACATTTCAAACAATTAAAAATGTGTAATCATCACAGGTCAGATAAGAGTTAACCCAAAGAAAGCTAACGATGGCTACTGATTAGTTACCAAAGCTGAAAGTTATAAGATAGCTTAACTTTAAAATGCTACAGCAACAGCTAACAATAACCTTATCAATAATCATTAACCAAAGAATATAGTAAAAAAAATAGCAAAAACAAAATACAAAGAGCAAGTAATTAGCCAAACAATAAAGCTACTGTAAAAGCTAGCTAAATTTTTAAAACCCCAGAAAATGTAAATCCAGCTACCAATATATTTATATATTCATATTTGTAATTACATTGTATATAGGAAATAATAGTTTTACGTGAGATCATCATTTACTCAGGTCTAACTAACAGCAGTCTTAGTTGAACTGACCTGTTCTTTTAGTTGAACAACCTTCTCCTTCAGCAGCAGCTTCACGTTATGCAGCGAAAGTTCAACTTCTCTCATACGTTCCTCCATATTCTTCATCTTCCGCTCACGTTCGTCCTGTTGAGAAGACAGAATATCATCACTTCTCTGCAAATTTTTCAGTACAATTCACAAGGTTAACATTCTGCAGTTAGTAATTGTTAAGTATGAAATAAAACAGAAGAACCACATAGACCTGAGTCTTTTCAGTTAGATATGATCTTTATTTTGTCTTGATTTCAGTGTTAAATGATTTCATGGACATTACTATAAAAAGGGAGATGACAGTGCACTATAAAAATAAATTAAACAATAAATAAAACAAAAAAGCATTGCATTGGAGATGCCTCTACAAAATAATTTAACTCATAAATAAACTTAAAGAAAAAAAATGAACATGATCCTAATAAATATGTTAAATAAATCAAATACATAACAGTTTATATATGGTGTAAAAAACACTATGTGGCTAACCACTAATACCCACACACACACACACACACAACAATAATAGAAACAATGACACATTGTACCAACGACACACAACACGCTGGTGGAATTTCTAAAAATAAACACCAGGAAAACATTTGAATGTAACAGTCATGTGACCTGGAATTTTGGTTTGTGGAGCAGCAGCAGCAGTAACACAAACATTGTCACAAACAGACAAAAAAAAAATCACTTCAATGGGATAATCAAAGAAACAGTCAACACAGTGTAGTGTCCAAAAAGAACCGAGCCAAGAACAAAAACAGTGAAATTCTGGTTACTTCATTTACAAAAACATTTACCTGAATCCACACAGTATCATCAGCTGATGTTTGATTGTTTAAAAAATGGCTCAACAGAATATCAGTGGTCTGAATATTAAAGGAGCAATCCAGCTCTTTAGACATAATCCTGTTTAAGTGCACACAGTACTGTCAGTGCTAAATAGATGTTTTGAAGCTGTACTATCAGACATCTCATCAAGATACCATTACATGTACAATGCAACATGATCCAGTCTCTTATGGGATCCTGTTGTGCAACTTTAGTGGCAGCAAATGTTGCGTTACACTTGCATAACCTTTTGATCATATAAGAGGCATCACAGTGTTACTACTTCGAATATTGCAAACAACAAGAATAGGCAAGAATAGAATAAACTAAGAGTTTTTTTCCACTGACAGTACCGGGTAACACTAAATAGTACTATGTTAAAAAAAATGCTAGATTTCTCCTTTTGCATCCCCTGATGTTAAGGCAGATGGTCAAACCAAATTTAGTCTCACAGTATTTACCCTGTCAAGTTGAAAGGAATACATACCCTGCATTTAAAAACCTCTAATTATCATTTAAATGTTAATAATGCCACCGAGTGGTCTGTATATTCTTACTGCACTCAGGTAAAAACCTGAGTTTTTGCAATGTTAAATGTCAATATTTCAAATTATTGTCCCATTGGGAGAAAACAAATATGATATTCTGTGTGTTTTTCTGCCACCTGGCAGCAGAGTAGTAGAATTACACACATGTGCCTTCTGAATCAGGCATCACATTATGTCCAGTCTCCTATAAGGAAGCAGAAAGGTCGATGTGTTTTCTCTGGTCAGAGATTTGCTTGGAGCAAAGCACAGGAAGAGCAGAAGACGAAGAGAGACAGCAGTCATGGAAATAAGAGAGGAGATAAAGGAGGAGGGCAGAGGCAAAGATGCTGGAGTTACAATCCACCAATCCGTCGGTAGCTGTCTGCGTGAGTCGCCCGCTGTTCCGCCATTGCACCCTGGAGAGAGAAGGTAGGTATACTTCACCACAGCTCTACCCACTCTTCTAGAACTGAAAACCTACACAGAGTGCTCATTAGGGCTCAACATAAGTTTCTCATGAATAAATATGGACACGTGCAGTTGACACTGAATGAAAATGTCTGATGGGAACTTTAACACTGGTGATCTGTGTGTATGAGCCCAGAATCCACACGCATGAAAATGTGAAATGATCGAATCAAATGTTTCTTTGAGAACTAACGAAGAAGAATTCTGTCAGTGTCAATGTGAAAAGTCTCAGTTGCCGTGTAAGAAGATTACAGTTATTCTAATGCACAAGGAAGGGCCGTTGGAATTGGCAGTTTCTGCATCGTGAAGGAGAAACACGTTTTGTGGAGATGTCAACAATCATTTGAATAAGGTAGGTAACTAACACAGACATTTTGTTCTGGTTATGAATGAATAATACTAAGGCTGTCAAATAATTACAATTATAATTACAGCATAGCTGTTGATTAATTACAATTCATCAAGATTGGTTGTGAATTCCTAAATATGACAAAACAATGGGTTATTTTAAATATTGCTGAAACAGGTATAGGTTTGTGTTTTTATATGCAACTAATTCAAATGGATTTATTAATATAAAACTAAAAAAGTTCAAGTCTGAGGTGCTTCAGTGAATCTAACATTTTTCCTGCAGTGTGTGTCAATAACAACCTGTTTATTAACTGTGTATTGGATGAACTACAACCTGTTTATTAACTGTGTATTGGAGCAAATATAAGTAGATGAACCGGGGAATTACTGGACATACGCTGCTGTAATTCTATGCAAACTTATTGTGGTTAACATGAAAAATCTGCATCATCAAACTATTAGAGATGACATTTTTTTGCACAGCATGACGCTGCATTCGGTGGCGACAGACGTGAAGCAAGGCCCTCAGAACCACACCCACAGAACGACTTCAGGCCCAAGGCAGAACAGTAAATAAACACAAAGTCCAGGAACACAACAAAGAACACCAAACCCACAAAGTCAATACAGAAGAATGACAAGATGAAGACAAACAGGTGCTGAGCTGAAACTGTCACTAGAAAAAAACAAAAAAAAAACAAACAAAAAAAAAAAACACCAGAACAGTGGAGAAAACCCAACTCAAAAGAATGAAAATAATCACAATACTTTGAATGTAAAGTACTGCAATTTTGGAAAATATGCAGGTTGTTGTTTCGGTACTATGGTTTTTAGGCCAAAACCATAGAAACAAATACAAATACTGAATATTTACAACTACTACAATAAGTAGTAGTATATTTACAACTACTACAATAAAGTAATATATATATATATATATAATATATATAAAATATGTGTGTGTTTACATCCAACTCAGTCCCAATCACCTCCTACTAGAGAAACAACGCTTCTATTCCTTTTTAAGGCATCAAGGTTACGTATGAATATAGAAATATGAGGTTTAATGAGACCAAGATGTAAGGGAAGAAATGTCAGTGAGAAAAATGTAGAAAATGAACATGATGCCTAATCATGCAAACATTTTAAGAGTAGTGCATTGGATACTACTACTACAAAATGCATGACTTTAGTAAAACATTTTAAGAGTAGTGCATTGGATAAACTACAAAATGCATGACTTTAGTGAAAGGAAGCAGCATTTTACCAGGATTTTCTAAAACCAACTGTGAGGTTAAGGACTGTAACGCACCTGCTGGTGGTCTACTTCTTCACCACGGTTCTGACCTCTGGGTAACCGATGAGGAGAGGGAGGCAGAAGTCCAAGGAAATGTGCCTGAAAGCTCTGGACAAAGGAAAAAAAAAAAACACAGTGAGACAACAGACAAATATGCACAATATTACTGATCACATAGATTCAAATTTTTTAAAGTTTCTGTCAAATTACTATGGTAATTATTGGATGGAACACTGTGATGAAATGTTGCCAAACTGTTGGATTTCTGATGTCATAAATATGAAGCCAACCGTCCTTATGTTGGCCCACTAAATGTCACAAATAAAAAAAGGTCTACTGTATCCAATAATGTCAGTGACGTGAACAGTGTGGTGTTTTACCTCCAGCAGCTGTGTGGACATTCGAGCCAGTTGGTCTCTCAGTGCATCATTCTCTTGTTGAAGGTTTTCCAGTGAAGGTGTCCGTCCTTGTCCTGCTTCACAGCCCTGAAACCCACATATATATTCATTAATTAGAATGTACCAGAACAAAACAGACTCACTGTTTAGACAGACAAAACGTCAGGAGAGTTAATGGAGATACAATGTTCTACCTTGGCCTGCTCCTTCTGGGCCTCCAGCTCCTGTTTAAGGGAGACATTCTCCTGCTCCAGGGCCTTCACCAGCAACAACAGATCTGGGTGGTTCTGCTGCTTCAAGGACAAGAGGTTTGCATCCAACTGACGAACCTAAAGAATACAATTCAAGGCATTATAGTCTAATTTTTCCCCCGAGGAATTGAATTTGCTAAAATCTTCAGCTCACCTTCTCTTTTGACTGAACAAGGTCTCCTTTGATGTTGCGAACTTCCGCCTGGAGCCTCTCGTTGTCCTGCCTCAGCAGCAGCTGCTCCTGCTCCATCAGCAGCGACAGCTCTTCTCTGAGCAGCTTCTTCCCATGGCTCTGCAGACTGCCTGAATGGATGGTCCTTTCTAAAACACGGTTCTATGGAGAAGAAATCCTTAGTGGTGTCTAATGGTTCCATTATTAAGATACATGTGTCTTGTCATCACTTACATGTAACTGTGACAAACACTAATGCTGTACCTTATCGCTGGCATTCTGCAACCGTTTGTGCAGAACTGCCAGTTCATGTTTGAGAGAGTCCCTCTCCTTCTGCAGAACACGGACGTCAGCTTTCAGACGAGCACTTTGATGGTGGACGGCCTGAGATGTTTCATCCGCCTTCTTCACCTTGAGTAGAAGAGGTGACATCAAATGTATCAAAATTAACATATTGAACTGTTCATTAAGGCCAATGATTCCCAAAGGGCGGGTGTGGGTCACCCTCCAGAAGGGGAGGGGATATTGTGGGATTGTGCAGAAAGAGAAATCATTTTTAATTTTAATATATATTTTTTAAATGTGTCTAACATTTGTGGAAAATGCACCAACTGTAATTGTATTTCATTTGTTTAATACGAATAACATTTTGCAGGGAGTTTTGCGGTAAATATATGGACGTGGGCTCCTTGACAATAGTGCCGTCTACAAAAGGGAGGTGCAGGAGAAAAAGACTTGGAACAACTGATTTTGGATATAGTAATAAAATGAACTGTTACCCGCTCCTCAGCTTTAGTGAAATGGTCACGCAGGCCACGGTTCTCCTTATCCAAACGTTTTCGTTCGTCTAAGAGATGGATGAGCTGATTCTCCATGGAGGCCAACTTGACAAAAAGATGAGCGAAGAATTTGAAAGTTTACCCTGAAGTGTCACAGCTGGATCTAAAACTATCTCAGCCGATCATGGCTGTTACCAGGCTAAAACATTTTTGGAATCAAAACTCACCTTCTCTGTGAGTCCAGACATCTGCTCAGACAGCTGGCTGTTCCTCTCCTCCAGCTGTGCAGTGTCCTCCAGAGCTTTGGTCAGCTCTGCCTCCAGAGAAGTCACACAAGCTGACAGCTAACACAAAAAGACGGTAATTAAATACTACCTACATCAACAACAACAACCAGTATGGAATCACAACAACCATCAACCCTTGTTACCATGTTTTTATCTTCAGAGGGCAGGGCCTCCCTCTTCTCCCTCTCCTCCATCAGCTCCTCAAGCTGTTTTTGGAGATGCTCCATATCTGCAACATTCTGGATGTTTTTCTCTGACAATGTATTATTTTCATCTTCCAGTTGCAGGCTTTGGAAATGCAGCTCTGCAATCTGCAGGGAAGAAAATTCCTCATTTCAAGACCTGATGACTGACAGTTGAAAATCAGTTCAAAGATAAGAATAGAAGCTTCACGAAAATCACCTGCTGCTGGAAGTTCTCTGCTGCATTCTGAGCCGAGCTCTTCTCATTTACCAACTGCTCCAATGTTTGTCTAAGATTAAACACAAAAACGGATGAAAAAGATGAGTGTACACAATTCAAGAAAAATGCACATAACATGGCAGGATAAGTTGAAAAGGGTCTATCTCTTACGTCAACTCTTCTTGGACTGATTTTAAATCCTCCTCCTTCAAAGCATCAATCTTCTTCCTGAAGACCAGGTTTTCCTCTGCGAGACGACATGATTCAGACCTAAAGAAAGAGTGGAAAAAAATGTACAGGTCAAAAATCGGAGTGGGCTTAGACATTTAAATATGTCAACTTCCTTGGGTTTCTACTAGAGAAGGGTTTTCTGAAGAAGGGTCCTTGGGTTTCTACTAGAGAAGGGTTTTTGATCTGATTTACAAGCATCAGGTCAGTGATCACAGGTGGGACAAAAGGCACTATGTCACATTGGGAAATAAGGCAGGAGTGATCCACAAAGCACCAGAGGAACAACAAAAAGCTGCAGGGACACAGGAGGCTGGGATCCTAGGTCTTCTCCACATTACCTATGTGCCTGTGTTTTTTCATTTAATCTGTGCCACTTGTCCTGAAGCTCTGTGATGAAGTAGTGAAGCTTCTCAATCTGAGAGCTGCAGTCCTGGGGGTGGCTCAGCGGCTCCATCTGACTGGTCAGATCCAGCAAATCCTCATCCGTGGTGTTCTGAAACCAGCCGTCTATTTCATGTTCTAAAAGAACCCCACTGGTTGTCTCCATTTGCTTGATCATTCCCAACATTTTGGCGTTTCCATCCTTAATCTTGCTGATCCCATCCATGTGTGAAAACTGCTCATCATGGAAAATATTCATCCTGGTTTCAAGGCTCCAAACCCTGTATTCAAGCTCAAAGTTTTGTTCCTTAAGTTTGGTGTTTTCACACATGCAGTCTTCATATTGAATCTGGAGATCTGTCATCTTCAAGGTCTTCATCTCCAGCTCCTTGACGTGCTCGATGAGCAACACCATTTTAACTTTCAGGCTGTAGTTTTCCTCCAGAACCTGGTGACCAGTTTTGACCTTCTCATTGTTATGAGCCAGAAGACTGTCTAGTAATTCCGTCTTCTGTTGAAGCAGGGAGATCTTCTCATGAAGAAGGATGTTTTCCTCAGTGGCCTTTCTGTACAAAGATGAAAGTTCAAATAGAGAACGTGTCTGGTTCTCAGCATCTCCAGCATCACCAACAGCATTCAAGCCTTCAACAATTGGCCCTGAAAAATCACTGTGCCCTGTATGCTGGTGACCCTGTTTCTCCAGCAGTGAAGGTTCAACCACAGCATCATGACATGGCTCATCTTCAAAAGAAGAGCTTCCAAAATAGCATCATGACATGGCTCATCTTCAAAAAAAGAGCTTCCAAAATCTCCTAAGTGGAAACGTGAAAGTTTGTCTTCATCTCTAGAGGACGTTATAATGTCATCATCTGTTTTATCTTGAATGACTTCATACAGCTCTTTGTAATGTAGGTCAACCAAACAAGACTCTCTATTGTTCTCAACTGCCCTCAGGTGTAATTCAGTGTCTTCTTCTTGACAGTGTCCAAATTCCTGGGAATTCCAGGCTATGTGAGCGTTAAGGTCCACTGTTTTAAAAGCAGCACTTCTTCTTGACAGTGTCCAAATTCCTGGCAATCCCAGGCTATGTGAGCAAGGTCCACTGTTTTAAAAGCAGCATAAATTTGATTTTCTTTATTAGGGTAAATTGCATTTTGTGATTGTTTTGTATGGTTTTCATCTAAAGCCATCTGACTATCTTGTTCTGGGCTCTTTTTCAACATTTTTTCTAGCATATTTACATGATCAAGGCCTCCATCCACAGAATAAGAAGCATTTAAAGGGGTTTTTACCTGAGACCTGTGAACAACCAGAGATAATGAGCACCTTTGTTCTAGATTAGAAGAATTGCTAAAGGTAAAACTGCTGTGGTTCACATCTTGTTGTGGATTCAATTCCATATTAATGCAATCTTGTTTGTCAACTGCATCTACTGATGTCAAACCCTGATGCAGTTCAAACTCTTGTTCTTGTCTTCGAAGCAATGCTCTCTTTGTTGCAAGCTCTTTGACTTTCCAAGAATTATCTTTTAAAGTCTCCTCTGGAACAGATACATGTCTCTGTTGTCTTTCTCTGTCAAGTTCAACGTCCACTGGTGCTTGTTTGAGCAGCACCTTTAGCTCTTCAGACTCCATTAACTCTTGTTCTGTCAACAAGTCAATTGTCTCTGTTCTTTGTTGCTCAGAAGTCACATGTATGTCATTGTACTTTGACTCTAGTGACAGCTGTTCCATTCTCTCCTCTGTGGTATGATTTAACAGAAGCTCCTTGGTTTCCAGGTTTTCCTGGAGTCTGGTATAAAGGTCATTCATCTGCCTACTCCGCTCTTTTTCATTCTGCAGCCAATTGTTCTGGACCAATAATCCGTCCAGTTCTTCCTTGTGAAAGCTTTCACGTTCATGCCTATCTTTCGAACGCTCCCTGTTGCGTCTCTCCCTCTCCTTCTCCATGGCCTCCTCCATCACTCCTCTTTGTTTCTTAGCTTCATCCAACTCAGCCTCCCAGAGGAGCTTCTGTCCCTCATGTTTTTCAGAAAGTGCCGTCAGCTCGCTCTGGTAATGCTGTTCATGTTTTAAAACATCAGCCTGAAAGCGCTCCACTGAAGATTCTTGATCACCAGAGAAGCGTTCTTTCACTGCTTGGATTCTCTCAGAGAAGCTGACCTCCAGTTCACTCCTGTACATAGTTATTCAATAATTGTTACGGCAACAGTTTAAAATTTCTAATGCTACATTCGAAGTAACAGTCAGCAAAATTTCAAGGGAAATTAAACCAAACCCAGAGTAGGCTTAGTTTAGCTTACTTATCCAGCAGCTATTTTTTTGGGTTCACTTTATGGCAATTGCTAGGCTATTATGTTTTTACAATTTAGCCATTTAGCCATACTTCATTTAAACAAACCTTTAGAATGTTTGTCTAATATTTGGCCATTTATTTGTCTAATTCCAAGCAGTATCTGTGAGTGGAAGGTACACATGTTTAAAAGAAAAAGAAAATAAAGAAACTGCAGAAATGTTTTTGTTGGTCATCTCAAAATTTAAATCCTACCTCTCTTTAGCGATGTCATCTCTTAGTTTCTCCAACATGCTGCTCAGCGCCTCTCTCTCTTCCCAGTGCGTTGTCATCAGTTCTTTGATAACAACTTGGTGTCTTTTCTCCACACGAGTCTTCTCTGCAGCCAGCAACTTTTCTAGACTTTCTTTAACCTCCTCTTTCTCTGCCTCAAGTTTTGCCCTCTCCTCACTCAACCTGACCTCAAGCCTCACTTCATAATCCTTCTCCATCTGGACTTTTTTCTCCTTCCAAATCTCCTTTAGCTTTTTCTCCTTCTGCTCAAAATGCTCTTCTACCCGTGACCTCTCTTCAGATATTTTTTGGAGTGTAGTAGCTTCATAATGTTGCTGAAGCTTTGCCTGCTCAACAGTCCATTGCTCTCTGAGCTGTTTGACTTTTTCTTCATGTTCCCTGACCAGTTTCAACATCTCCTCCTTCAGCTGCACCTGCAGGGACTCCTCATTCGTCTCATTCAGCTGAGCTCTGTCCTCCTCCCACTGCTTTTCAAGTCTCTCCACAACTTCACGCTGCTCTTCCTGCAACCTCAGCTTTGCTTCTTCAAGTTTGGTCTTCATTTCCAGGTCATGGCTTTGTTTTAAATTTTCAAGTTCATCCCAAAATCTCTTCCCTGCCTCAGTCTTTTCTGTCTGGTGTTTATTCTGCTCCTCTTTCAGCCTTATTTCTAGAAGTCCAACATGTTTTTCTTCTAGTTTTTTAATCTCAGCAGCTTGTTGGTCTTTCAGCTCCTCAACCTGACTGTGACAGTTTCCCTCCATCTCAGCTAGTTGTGTTTCCAGCCCCTGTAGCTGCTCCTCCAGGTCTGCTGTCAAAGTATGTGCCTCCAGCAGCTGTTGTCTGAGGTTTCCCACCTCCTCCTCCCGCAGGTTTTCCAGTTCTTCTTTCTCATCTGAGCAGTTCTGTTCCAGACGGCACCGCTCCAGCTCCGCTTGCTTGAGTCGGCTCTGGAGCTCCTGCATCTGGCTCTGAACTCTGCTGTTCTCGTCTCTCAGAGACTGGATGGCCTGCTGGTGCTGGACAACAATGACAGCTTCATGGTCTTCATGGTTGGTCCTCTGTTTTTCTACCATCTGGTCAAATTCACTAATCTGCAGCAAAACAAAAACAAAAACATTGAAGGTGAATATTAAGTTTTTGATAATAACTAGAATTAATTTGTAGTAGACAGCCATCTTAGCTATAATTATTATTATTGTGATTTTAGAATCAGAGACAGCCATCTTAGCTATAATTATTATGATTTTAGAATCAAAATTTTATATAAACAAAGTCTCAAGTGTTAAATGCAGATTATTTTGTAAAATGCCATTTGACGTCTCAACTGAGCAATTTAAGTACTGGCTTCTCCTTTTGCTTGTTTCTAATATGATTATTAATACTTGAGAATTTCCTTAAATATTTAATTTTTTGCAAACTTACTTTGCTTTCTAGTTGATTTTGTAATTCCTCCACCTCCTGGAGGTGTTGCTCCTTCAGCCGCTCCAGCATCATCTCTGCCTCCAGGTTTAAGTTGAACGGCTGAACTTCCTCAGAACCAATGCCTGGAATCAAGAGTTATTGTCAGTATTTTTCATTGTCAAATGGGTTTTCCTAAGGTATGGTTAAATATCATATAGATCAACAGTACCTGGGTCAGACTCATTGCCGGGGCTTTTGCTCTCCAGCTCCTCAGAGAGGGGTTTGTTGCAGGACTGATGAACTCGACCGAGATTGTGGAACTGCTGCAGCTCTGACTGTAGCTCATCGATTCGATCCTGCAGTTCCTGCCAATTATCAAAAAAATATCTCAATAAAGTAAACTATATATTTAAACCACTTATGTAGAGTAAAGTAGAATATTCTCTTCACCTTGACTATCATTAGTGAAGCTTATATTTTACAAATTAAAAGGGAGAAAAAAGTCAGTATTACCCGGCACTGGGCTTCATAGCCACTGTGTAGTTGTTTAATGCGTTCCTCTTGGTGAAGGAAGTCAGCACGGCCAGGGTCCAGGTCTCCAAACTACAAAAGTGGCATAAACATTAAACAGAGCTATTTACTCGGCACTATAATCATTGATCATTCGATTCATTCTTCTCTCTACCTTCTCTTTCATTACATTGTCCAAAGTCGTTTGCAGTTTTGTGATTTGAACTTCTGCATCCACTAGTTTTTCTCTGCTGTCGAGCAGCTCCATCTCCAAACGCCGGTTTTCCTGTACATATAATTTCATTAGACCTGCCTTCAGTGTTTATTTTGTGGACTTTTCATGAAGGCCTTTGAAAAACACCTTCTTTTCTAAGACTAAGACCAAGACCAAGACTAAATAAAAGTGTGGCAGTCAAAATTAGCACTGACTGTCTGATTGTAATGTAAGACAATTAAAACATTTGTGAAATAATTCAAACAATATTAAGACACACAGACATGGTGAACTCTATACACATAATTCAAACAATATTAAGACACACAGGTGAACTCTATACAGAGAACAATATGTCTTCTTCTGGTACCTTAACAGAAATGGAGAGATGGTCTCTGAGAAAGGACTCGTCCTCCCTGATCCTCCCCATCTCCGCCTCCAGCTCCTCACGCTGCAGACCTGCCTGCTGCTGGATTCTGTCCATCTCTATCATCAGTTCTGATCTGACAGCTGTAAGTTTTTCTTTGTGGTCCTGCTCCAGCTTCCTGTAAAAAAAAAGTACAAAAAAAGTGTTTAAACAAATGAGTAATAAACACAAGACAGAGAAATTAAATATGGTGGAGAATAAATATTTACCTGAGTTTAAGATTGTTGGTTTGCTCAATTGCAGAGTGATGTTCGTCCACCTCGGTTGCCAGTTGGTTCTTAAGCTTTTCTGCCTTTTCCAAATCGGATCGGATTTTCTCTTTTTCCCTGTATTCCCTGTCGACACATTCTCTGATAAAAGAATAAACAAGAAGGGAATTATTTCTTGTTGTTTTTTTTGTTTAAACCATCACAATAAGAACTAAATGAGCTGCTTAACTTAACAACTCGTAAACTCACAGGAGATGTCTGATCTCAGCTTTGAAACTGGCCAGTACTGCCTGGTGAATTCCATTCTTAGTGACAAGCAGCTCATTTTCAAGTGCCATGGCGAGATCACCGAGACTCAGTTTGCCGTTGAGATCAAAGTTCAAGGCCTGCAATTTATAAACATTTGGTTTAAATAATGTATCCTTAATTTTTGCAATGGGTTCTTTGAATTGTTTTTTTTTCTTTTTAGAAATATTCTCTAATCTGCTATTTTTTTTTTTTTTTTCAGAAATATTCTCTAATCTGCCGTACCTGCAGGATTTCATAGCTGTTTTCAATGCCATCTTCTGTCCAGGCATCCAGGATGTATTCTACTGAAGTGAAACCAGTGCCGTCATCAAGGGAGGAGAAGAGACGGGTGCCGATGGTGCTGGTCAAGGTGGAGGGTGTGGCAATTCTACGACCTCCTTCATCAAAAGGCTACAGGAAAAAAAAATGCTCATATTTTATTCTACAGAACCTCACCTATCAACTGCCAAAGTATCAACTGGTTTACAAGGAGTCTTTAGATTTCTTCAGTCAACTCCTTGAAAACATGAATATTCCACACACAAGGAAATTACACCCACATCACAGTGGAACACAGCAACTGGGCGTCATACCTGCATGGAGTGATGTCGTTTCAGCTGTCTGTAGGGAGTAGAAGCTGATGGTGTCGGCGGTTTGTTGTGGTTCACAACCTGAGAAACAAACTCCTGAACGTTCATCACTCCATCACTTGTTAGATTCAGCAGGTCATCTTCCTTTATCTGAAAAGACAATAACATGCCTTTATAGAAGAACTAGTTCACAGAAAAGGTTTTTACGTTAAAAAATATATATATATTAACAAGGCCATTTGATAATCATTTCTTAAAGTGATTCTTGCTGAAGTGGTTTTGCTGTAAATCCTACCATGACAGTTCTAGTTTCAAGTCATTTGTGATTTAAAATAATTCCACTCACATAATGAAAATTGCATATAAAAATCCCAGATTATAAAAAAATGAAAAAGACATCCTCCACCAAGTCCTCAACTTACCTCCAGACCTAAATGTTCACAAACAGCAAGGAGTTCAGTGTGGTCAACACATCGATCCCAGGATATGCTCAACTCCTCGCAGGCTTCACGTAGACGCTCCTCTAAACAGGAGGAGAGGGGAACCGTGGATGTCCGTGGTGTGCTCGGCTCATCAGGGTTCCACAGATGCATCTGGCCTACACACGGGATCAGGAACCAATTTAATGAGGGATTTTTTTAGCCCATCGACCAACACTTACAATTGGAATTACAAAATATTTAAATCACGCGTTACCTTCTGCTTCATACTCCTCTGTGCTTGACTCGTTAGCATTCCAGCGCTGCAACAAATGATTGTAACAAGTAATTAATGTATTATTAGTAACACTTCAGTAATATTTTAAAGGCAAACATTCATTTAGATTTGTTTATTTTGCCAAAAGAAAAGTACTACTTATTATCCTGGTGGGTGATGTTTGAGCAAGTGGCCCCCACTTCCTCCACTGTTGGGACTATAACTGTTACTATGGGCGTTTAAACTTTTAGTTGAGAGTGTTGAACGAGTAACATAGATGTCATTTTGAAAAAAGAAAAGTTAGGGCAGGAGCCACAGTTAAATTCACAACAACTCACTAAATTTGGACTAACCTAATTTGTAACTGTAATTCAATTTCAGTTGCAGTCAGTTTAGTTTATAACAGTGTCGATGTTAGCCATGCTCATTATATAAACATGACATTTCATGACATCATGACAGTCCATAATCCTATTTACATTGAAATCCCTTCAAAGTGATTTATTTTGTTTACTTCAGATGTTTCACCGAAGAGGAAAACGCTGACAGTACTAAAACGAAGCCGACTTCAGCTGAGAAAGACGATGAATTAAAAACGTAAACATCATATGGGATTAAACTCCTAATTACAACCAATAAAGAGATTAAAAAGAATTGCAGTGTTTTGTGATTTGGAGGAGAAAATTAGGTTTTAGCTTCAGTGAGACTGACTCTTTTCCAGCTCGACCGAGCGATGCCGTCCATTGTCTGACGTATAAACAGCGACGGAATGAAGCACAGATGGGGACCTGAAAGGGGGGACCTCATTTTGATACATGGAGTAAAGGCATCTGTATGGTCTGGGGGGACGCTGAGGTCTATTGTTCCTCTGTCACAGGCAAACTACCTCCTCCTCCTCCTATAGCACCAGACCTGCTGCCTCTGAGGCAGAGAAACCCCTGACCCGGCCCCATCTGCTGGCCCCCGGGTTGGACATTGTCGCTTTGTCAAAAGCCAGATTAGCCAACCCCAAGACACGCTTCAGTTCAGTGTCTCAAAAAGTTTGGTTTGGTGCTGACAGACATCTGGGATGGAGCTCAATACACACACACACACACACACACACACACAATATTAATATATACACATTCATACACACACGCATAGCTAAATGTCACTGCATTGTTGTTGTTTTTTCCTTTTCTCTGCTATAGGCCACAGCACCAACTTATTATCTTCACCCCTAAATAATGAATCTAAGCTTAGCCAACAGCCTGAGTCAATTTCCATATAACAATTAAACAAAGCTGCTGTACTCTTTATCCTGCTCTTGTCAATGTCATCAGTGTTCCTGTCAGCTGCACACAGGAATTTATGTAAGCATTATTTTCTGTCCAGGACTTCATTAGGTCAAACACATCTGCTTTGAAACAATGACAGCACGTTATACTAACGTAACTGGGGTTCCATTTAAAAGTGCATGTCAGTGCAGTGATTGATGTGGAGGGAAAGTGTTATCTTAATCCTTCTCACATATGTCCCTTAATGCTCTACGTCAACAGTGAGGACAAGATTATCCAGGAAAGATTCAGAAGATCAAGCAGAGGAACCACCCTGAGCGTTCATCTGTGCACGTCTACTGCTAAACCTGTTAGACTGAGGCCACGGAGATCCTCCATGAAGCGCACCTTTTTAATTTAAAGAGCAACTGAGTGCAAGCACCGGTCATAACATCAACTAGGACAATTCAGATAGTGGCCCAGGGGCCAAATGCAGCCCAGGCACTACCATATAGTGGTCCAGTCTGTGGTCATTTAAGAATAATTAGAGAATAATAATAGACAAGACAGTAGAATGCACCACGACTAAAACATTCAACACACAAAATCAACTTTTTATTTTCCACCAAGGCTCCAAACCCATGTGCTTATTTTATTCATTTATTTTTGCTAAATTTATAGTTGTTTTTTTTTTTTTAAAGTACATTGGGCTAGGTCAAACACTTCTCACATACATCAAATGTTTTGATCCAAATTAAATAATCCAATGGACATGTCTGGCCCAGCCCACTTTAAAATTGAATAATTCTGCAATACGCCAACAACTAATTCTTTCCACTTGTCTCTTATTTTAAAACATGGCCTACAGAAAATTCCCAAGTCACTGAGTTGTTGCCTTGTCCACCAGCACCTAAACCCATGGCCAGGTTCAACAAGGTTAAAAAAAAAGAGCTGTTGACAAGTTAAATACAAAGGCGTCATGAGGTGTTAAGGTGACAAGTACAAACTTCTGTTACACAAACATTAAGGTTAAGACGTGCCTGTTTAAAGGTCTTAGAGATATGTTAATAAGCTCACAGCGTTCTGAGCACAGAGAGCTGCAAATGTATGTAATGAAAGACTTTGTGTTGTGGTGCATTTGTGTAACATTACAGCAGCCTGGCATGCTGCTAAGCTGATTAGCTAAGAATAACTCCCTGCTATCAGTGTGTGGCCAGAAAAACACTGCACATCCAAGGACAGGAAAAAGATAAGGATCCAAGTCTCTGCTAGAGATTTAGAACCTCAGAGGATTTTACCTCACGTTTCCTAGGAACAGCCGAGTCATAGTTGTCCTCCAGATCCTCTGCCTCTGCAGGGTTTACGATGGTGGACTCTGATAGGCTTGAAATAGGGTCTATTAACTCTGGTGTGGAGCGGCGGCCGTATCGTTTAGAGCCCTTTACAAACTTTGGTTGGATCTCTGGAGACGCTGAGAAAGAAAACGGAAGAAAAACATGTTACATCACGATTCCTCTTAAAAACATTGCATCTTTTATATTAAAGTCACTCTGCTTGGTGCTTCACTGAAACCACTGTCATCTGCAGGAATAAAAAAACCCAAAAAAAAACCAAGTGATCATGACTATTAGTCACAGCCTGAAATACTTCTCTAAAAGCAGCAACTTCTCTAAAAAGGACAACCTTAAAATATCTCAACAAATACGTCTGCCTTGTTCAAATACAACAAAATATCTCAACAAATACGTCTGCCTTTGTTCAAATACAACAGAAAGAACAGGTCAACAGTGACTGAGGTACAAAAGTCAACAAGTTATAGGAAAATATACTGTAATGTTTAAAAATTCTAACACGTTGAAATTACCAACCTTTACTTCAAACAAATTCAACATTTCTTAATTTTCACAATAAAACAGGTTCATGTTTATTGTAAACATCAGTGCATCACCTACGCTCATAAAACCTGAATTGCCTCATAAAACCTGAATTGCCTGTTGCCTGTCAACAGTGAAACTATTTGCTAACTAACTTCTAACTCTGTGGCTCTGTACTACTAACTACTAGCTCTGTACTCCTGTATGTAGACTTCAGCTAACAGTGTCTGATGACCTGATGCATAAAACTGGAGAAACCGTTAAAACTATCAATGCTTTGAAACTGGAGTTTACCTGCTTTCTGCAAAGGTTCCTGTTCTGCCTGAGGTTGCTCAAAAGTTGAGGACAAAACCAGAATCAGTGCATTCTTAAACTGGTCAAAGTCGATCTGCAAGAAGAGAGAGACGGAAAAAGTTGGATATTAAAATGTGTGGTATTTTTGGAAAAATGCAAAAAAAAAAAAATGCAAAAAAAAAAGAGCTCTGTTTGTGAAGCAAATAGAAAATATGCGATCCTTGTGTAGGTGGAGGCCTGGAGTCCCTGGGTGGAGGAGGGACGTCAGTCCTGGAGAATCAACAGCTGCTAACCCTGAAAACCTAAACCTATGCTGATTTTCTTTGTGTTCTCAGGCTGGCAGCTTTTGGTTATGGGGGTTCATCTCAGTGACCCCAGTGCCGGATGCCATGGTATCCAACTCCAAGACAATTGCATCACTGGCCCCTCTGCTAACATTCACCCCCAGACACACACACACCACCCCACACTCGCCACACAATGGCCTTCCTTCTGTGCACACGCTTATTGTGGACAAAGACGTCTTGATGCAAAAGTGTGGAGGTTTGCATTTCCTGGCTGATCACATCTTTTCACCTAGAACTTAAATGACAAAACACTCAGATAATATCAGAAACTACCAACTGCTCAGTGTGATTTCCTAATATATGAACTTGAAATGATCATAGTTTCAATGCTCTTGTAAAACAGACCGGTAAAACTAATGATATACTATATTTTTGGCTAAGTAGGCCACGATGTTTCAAAAATGATGAGATAATGACAAGTACCCAGAAGACTGTTCAAGGATTAAGATAGCAGAAATAGCTTAACTGAGACAAAGTTAGACAAGGACTTGGGTAAAAATAGGCAAAAAGATAAGCAAAAGTCAACATAGAAATACTTCAGGTTAAACAATAACAACAATATCTAAAATATAAGGCCTGGTGTTATGTTCAAATATATTTTACATTATACAGACTTAAAGAAATTCCACAGTTGTCTGCTATTTTCCACATATTTCCATAACCTTCAGATATACGCTTCTTTAAATGATGACTGAGTGTGGACAGGTTTTTTCTTTAAATGATGACTGAGTGTGGACAATAACAATAACTCAATAACAATAACTCAACAATAAGACCATGTCCTGAGAGAAACAGCGACCTTAAAAAACAGCAAAGGTTTCAAACAGGCATCCATCATAACCAAAAGATGCACAGGACCCACAAACATAAACCAAGAGGCCACATCTCATGTGTTACACCAGGAAATGAACAAAAACGCTCTTGTAAAAGACATGAATTCTAAGAAAGATGCCCCCGGGTTACATGTCACAGCAAGACAGACAACCTTGGGAAAACAGTGACCCACGTTTTCCACTGTTTTAAAATCACAATGTTAATATTTTTTAAAATCGATGGAGAGGAGAAAGCTCACCCTGGCAGTGAGGTGGTCCTGGTTTTGCAGCAGTGTTTGGATAAGAACTGGTGTGGCTTCATCAAGGTGCAAGGACTGGCAGAGTTCAGAGAGCTCCTCTGGGCAAAGGGAGCCGCAGCCGCTGGTATCAAAACTGTTAAAAACTTCCTTTAGTTGCTCCTCATACTGGTCCTGCTCTTGGACGTCATCCATCCCACAGGACAGCACCCTGCCCTGGGAAAACAAGACACGAAGATTCTTATTTTCCCACATAGAGCTGATGTGAGCATACACTGAATGGGTTTTAGTTCCACATCTATAGCAAATACTCACAAACAGAGCAGAAACATTGATCATAGCAGCCTGCCTCTAAGAGGACCTTCAGCTGAGAGTGTTGCTGAGCCACTGAGCTGCTAATATGCTGATGCAGCATCACCATGGCCGAAGCTTTGGCTAATCTAATTATAGGGATTAGACAATCGGGTCAATTGATTGGAAAACATGGCTATGATACAGTTAATCGATGCACAATAAATCTGAAGGCAGGTCCATCTGACATAAGTGTAATTTTGCAATAATTGACAAAAAGTAACATTCATTTTGAATTAGTAGATTTAAAGAAGAGCATTTTTAAAATTATCAACGTGGTTGGTGACTTCAGGCATATGGAGAAAGGAACTACTAATCTGACTAACCTGTTGTGTATGAGATTGTACACCAAACAACACGTAAAAAATGAATGCGTCAAAATGCCCCGGTTTTATACAATGAGCGCCTGCTTGACCCCCAGCTTTCCAGCTGCTCTCATTAAGATCATCAAGCTCTCAGCCAGGTGTCAGCCACACTCCAGACTTGGGGTTCCCATTCACTTACAAACAATGGGCTGACCACAAAAACCAAATCAGTATTCTGCATCTGCACAATTCAACACAATTCTAATCCTGAATAAATAAATAAATGCATCAGTGCAAAAAAATAAAATCACAACTGGATAACTGGTCCAACCTGACTGATCCAAAACCTTTATGCAAAAATCAAAAATATTTTACTCACAATTTATTTTCTGCCTCTAATAGTAAGAGTCTAAGCCTATTATCCCAGTAGTCCCTGTTGCTCTGCTCGGTCACGCCGGCTGTGGCTACACAGCTGCCAAGTCCAAAGAATCACAGCAGTTCAGGTCACAAGAACAAGGTTAATCCCCACAACATCATAAACATTTTGCCACTGATGTGCAGGGCAATTATCACAAACAGATGTCAATCTGAGAAACAGAAAAAATGTAACAAAGGTAAATGGGATTTCTTATTCAATTATTATTCAAATGAATTGTTAAACGTTGGCTTCATCATGCTGCACTACTGCAAAGACTGTACTAAGTTTTGCAGCTGGATAAATTGGCTTTAAAGCTCTAAAATGTGGTGAGTGTGTGTGTGTGTGTAAAAAAATATAACATACATTTTGCTCTTATAAACTAAGTACTTTTAACCTGTGGTCATCGTCATTTTAATGTTTTGGACATAACCAATTTGCAACTTCCAACCTAAATTAGCATTTTAAACTAAGTGATTTATAAATCAAACCAAATTTGGAAAACAACTACGTGACAGTTGCTATTACATTTGTTAAAAATAAAGGGACATGCAGATTTTGTAACATTATTAAACCACTTTTATATCCGTTTTCCAAATGATTTCTCAATTAATCGACAAAATATTTGTCAGAATAATCGATAACGAAAATACCAGTCTTAAGTCTAAGAATAAATAACATTTAACACAGTTTTCCAATGATTTAACTTAAATAAAAACAGCATTTGCTTAAAAAATGACAATAACATACTTTGAAAACGTTTTAAAGATTTGTGAAATTCACATTCACACTACAAACAGCCTAAAACAACCAGCTGTAGTAGTTGTAATGCAGTTTATTGACTGGATACGTTTATGAGCAGATTAATCACTACAACCAGCTGTGAACTAGATTAAACCAGATAATCTAGATTAACCAGTAACAGAGGGAAAAGTGATGAGCTAAATGCTAAGATGCTAGCAGCTGCGCAGCCGGGGAAATGCTGCTTTAATTTATCCTATTAAATTTCAGTAGCGTGAACATGTAAACACATAGTTATAAGTCAAAATACAATGAAAACTTTGACATCAAGTTGTCAGGTTTAGGCCACTCACCAGAGTCTGCGGACCTGAGGCGACTATTGGTTTCTTTTTTACCCGAAATCCTGTTTTGAGACGCGGGTTTAAAACTAAACTTTTTTTTTTCTTTACAACATGTCGTCGAGCGTTTGTTAAACTTTTCTTCTCCTGTTCTGCACTAAAATAAAACAGATGCGTTCTTTCGGACTAGTCCAAGCTTGTTTCTGACGGTTAATGTCTACACACACAAACAGCGCGAACGTGTTTTCTCCTCAGGGTTTTGCTGCCGCTTTATGATTCATCCTCGGGCTCTAGCGGATTTTGAAAAGTGGCCGAGAAGAGGAAGAGGCGGAGACCAGGAGGGGGAGAATGAGGAGGAGGTGGAGGAGGAGGAGGAGAGCTGAGGAGTTGGATTCAACTTCATACAATCCCCCTCAGACTCTGCCGTCGTCTACATCTGGCTGGAAACTACAACGATGTCATATTGGACAATTCGGAGTGCGTCATCCTGTATAATATCATGTAGAAGAAACTGACAGGCGTAGTCAGAATAAACCTGAAGTGGGTGGAGCTACGGGCAGGTTCTTGTTCAATAATTAGAGAATATCTAAAAATAAATAAATAAATAAAAAGCTAATAATGTAATTTACCGTTGTGTCCTAATTACATGTCGACTGCATGGGTTGAAACGTGTGTGTGTTGCAAATCCTAGAATTATGCCCGGTGGACCACTGGAGTGACTAAATCAGAACTCCCCTCATGGTGGACAGAAGCAAGTCTAGAAACGACGCAATGGTCTTAATGTTGATATACTCCCTATCACGGATTCTATGTCTTCTAACTTTTAAAATTGCAAGTTATGATCACGTTTACAGAGTGGCACTGAACTGGGATGCAGCCAGCAGCAGAGTCTTTAGCCTTATTATGAAACTCATGCATTCAGACGTGCTTAAGTCTGTTTAGAACAATGCAATACGTTAAGACCAGTTACAAAACACATTTGTTCAGATTAAAATAACTCTGCCTTAATCTGATTGTATTCTATTCTAAGAATGCCCTGATTTATGCAATTGAATGCCTATTATGCCCATTACATAGAGAGCTCTTGTGCAGAAAATATATATATTCAAAAAACCCAACAGTTCGCATAAATGTATTTATAAATATGGGTCATTTTGGATCGTTAGGAGGAGGTGCTGATGAGAAGCAGTTCATTTTCTTCTTCACATGAGTATGAAAAGTTATTGATGTTTATATTGTAGCTATATTAAAAAAACTACTGTAATAGTTATATCAAGGGTTAATAGTTCCGGGAGTGGGGAGGCGTGGTGAGACTGTGTGGCTGAGAGGTGCGGAGAGAGAGAGGAGTGAAGGATTAAGAGAGAGTAAAGACGGCGAAGAACAAGTGCAGTTATTGCAAGTTGCTGCCAATAATTGTTATTTTACATGATAAACATGATACATTTACAAATAAAGTTCTAAAGAGTACGAATGCGTTCGACTGGTCCATCGCAGGGACATTACACTACATTACCCATAACACCCCGCACTGCTTGTAGCCTCTTAACCAGTGTGCTGTCGTTGTTGGAGAAGCTTTACGCCGGTGGTAGGAGCAATACCATCTCCTAATGTTTTCTCTGTATTATTTAATAATTGAAGTACATCTTAGTTTGTCTGTTTGTTGACTGTACTGACGTTTTTTTTCGACACACTTCTCCACTTCCGTGTTTGAAGTATGTGTCATAATTTTATCAGTGTCCTGGTCGCAATTCTCCTTGTAGTTTTAACCAATAGCAGCGGAGTCACGTACACAGCCCAGTCTGTGCTTGGATAAACTTTGCTCTCCTTACTCTGAATTTCACAATAACATTGTGTAGACACCACTGGAGCCGGACTGTTCTCTGCTGCAGAGGGAACCTAACCGTCACAGGGATGTCATGGATGAAGACGACAGTGTCCTCTCTGATTACACTCTATGTGTCAGTGCCTGTGCTGCTCTTCGTGTTCCCATGGATCGTGGAACATATCATATTTGCTCACCTATGTAAGTAATGCATGTTTGAAGAAGCACACTGTTAACTTAATTTACACACCTCTCATGTGATTCTATCTGCATATATGTCACGTTAGCTTTACATTAAGCTGTAAGATAGCAGAGGGTCAAAGTTCAGCCTAGGAATACAAATATCTAAAAACAAAATCTAAATAACCAAGAACTACAACCAACCTAATTTTCCTGTTCAAAGATGTAAAATTATCACATTGCCACAATAACATGACACATCATATGACGCAGACCACTGGACTAACCTGGGTTCTTCTGTCCCACAGTGACTTTTCCATTCTTTGTGGACCTCAGCAGACCTGAAGACCTTCTCAACAACACATACAACTTCTACCTGAGCACAGAGGAGGACATCTCAGTGGGAGTCTGGTTAGTCGGGAAAGACAATTCCCATTGTGCCCTGTCATCAAGATCATCTGAAAATTCCACATTGGCCGCAGGTGGTGTCTGCTGAGTGAATGGTCCTGCAGTCTATTCATTTGGCAACAGCAAACCACTTGAAAAGCTTCTGAATTAATGTCAAAAGCCAAGCGTTGTTTTGTTCCTGATGCTCACTCTGTTACGTCACTCCTGTCTCACAGGCACACTCTCCCTGCCAGCCAATGGGAGCAGGCTGTGGGGAAAAGCCCTGAGTGGTACCAGAGGACGCTGGGGGATGGCTCTCCTGTTATTATCTACCTCCATGGAAACGGAGGAAACAGGTGTGGACAAGTGCAGGGAGACAGAAACCCTTGAACTGATGCTAATAGAGTCTTGTGGGTATTACCGAATGGTTGAAAGGGTTCTGAGTGCATCCACTGATCCACTGGTTCAATGCCCAACGTGGCTCAGAGTCTAACGCAGACACTTGTTTGTTTGTGTTTTTTGATCCACTGTGATTTCCTCTGCAGGGCCATGAAACACAGAGTGGAGCTGATGAAGGTGAGGCCTTCTATTTATCTTTATTTTTGACTGATTTTATTATTGATTTTTTATTTACCAATATTGTCATTTATCTTATAATTGTTTTCAGATCATGAGTGCAGCAGACTACCATGTCCTTTCTTTAGACTACAGAGGTAAGAAACAAATTATTATTCAAAACATATTTTTAATTTAACATTGCATTAATATTGTCTTTTATTTATCTAGTGTTGGTCTAGTCTTACTGTTGTAGTGTAAAGGTATGACGTCAGACGATCCTGACGGCAAATGACTGTCATATGAACATTTGATTTGGAGGTTTTGGAGACTCCACTGGTGAACCAAGCGAGGCTGGACTGACTACTGACGCCCTCTACCTGTACCAGTGGGTGAAGCAGCAAAGCAGAGACAGTTTTGTCTGTCTGTGGGGACACTCACTTGGCTCAGGGTCAGTTTCTGTCCTGACACTTTTAGTTTACTTTATAATCCAGGAACAATTCTGAACATTAACAGCTCCTTGTTGTTGCAGTGTGGCTACAAATGTTGCTGTAAAACTACAAGAACAAGGTAGAGTCAAAGTGGACAAACATCAGTGCATAATATTTGGTATTGAACATGTTTAAGTAATAAAACATAAAATATCAGGTTTATCTAAAACATTCATTATATCTCGACTTCAACAACTATACCATGATATGAGTTCCATATTAGTCTACACAAAAACCACAATATGTTTAATCCTGAAGTCAGGACCCAGTGATTGAACTTATACACAATGTCATCAATTTTAGGATCTGCCCCTGACGCAGTAATACTGCAAGGTGCTTTCACAAATATGGAAGAAACCATTTTCAACCATCCTATCACCAAGGTGAGACCAGATTTCTCTCTACTGTACATCTTGTTGTATTTCTTAACAATAACTATATCTAAGGCTGCAGGGGGATTTGTGCTGAGTGAGGTTCACTTGACATTTTCATTTCTTTCAGTTGTACCTGTTCCTCCCAGGATTTGAGAGCCTGATGTGGAACATCCTGGGGAGGAACAACGTAGTGTTTGCTAATGATGAAAAGTGAGTGCAGTGGATGTTTTTATGTTAATATATATAATATATTATATATATATATATATATATACATACATACATATATATATACATATATATATTTCTGTAATCTGTCTTTAACCATAAGCATTTCACTGTCATCCCAGTGTGAAGACCTTGACCAGTCCATTTCTTATACTGCACGCAGAGGACGACAACATTATTCCTTATCACATGGGTCTACAGGTAGATCCGGTTTTGTCTTCATGCATTCCTCTGTTTTGATTAAGCGGTTGCTGCTGAATAAAAATCACATGTTCTCCTGTCTGTCAGTTGTACAAGACTTTACTCCAGACTCAGGAAAAACACAGCACAGAGGCTCCGGTTGAAATGATCTCCTACAGAGCTGAACTTGGATTCTCACACAACAGGATTTACTTGGATCCTAACCTCTCCAATGTGGTCAAGTATGTTTACTGTTCAACATTATTGATGTACGCTTGCAAATATATGTCTTACATTGCTTTTTACTTCTGCTTGTTGTTACAGAGGTTTTCTTCGTAAGCTGAGGCTGCACCATTGAGAAGAATTTTTACTTAATAAATGTGTTTAAATCTCAAAATAAAAAAACATTTAATGGTGTAAAATCTGAGTCTTTTAATTCACACTGGAAGAAATACGACAGACGAGACAAGAAAAAGAAGGAGAAAAAGAATGAAAGGAACACATATTTTTCTACCCACCCAGAATACAGCCTTCTTCTCTGACTTTGCACACATTTTTGTTCAGTCAATTGTTCTGCGACTGACGTCCCACAGAATTCCTGAAGATGCAGATTTGGTCCTTCCATCATGTACTGTACTCTATTCAAATACTCAAGCTTGCTTCCTAATGTGGCTGTGTATTAACTGCATAGGTTTGACGCCAACAGACTGTAACAGACAAGGTTCAGCGTCTAGTGCTTTGTCACAAAGAAAAGTGAGTAAATACTGTACAATACTGTTAAAAAGTCTTAAGCCACAACTATACAGTATCTGTCGTTTAAGCAGTACTATAATAGTAACCTGTTCCTGGCCTTAGAGTGTGTAATAGTTTGACCTCTGACCTGTTTTTAAATATCACTAGAGGTAGAGTATAAAACTGGGAGTCTTTCAAGGCAGCCCTTGGTCTAGAACAGTGATCTCAAACCCCTGAGCACATGCAGCTCCTTAGCCTCCTCTCAAGGTCATATTTGAATTTATGAATGGAGCAAATTAACCTGAGCGATTAATATATTAAAAAACATTAATGACTGATGTATTAAATCAACCAGTTAATACGAGTTAATAGCCCATACAGTAGGACAGGGCTGTAAAGTTTTACAAAAATCAACTTGAAACCAAATTAACATTGCACTCAAGACGTTTAGCTTGCTTGCTAATGGCAAAATAACATAATAGCACTGTCCTCTTAACACAAGATCAGGGGTGAAACTTTAAGGTCGTCATTTTTGGAAAAGGGTAGAAGTAAGTAGAGTAAAAATGGTTCAACTTAAATGATAAAAAACAGAAAGGAGGCCAATCCAATGACTGATCAGACCTGATGCCCTATAGGATTGCTTCAAAAACATGGACACAATGTTTCCTCCTTACACAGACTTACACCCAAGACAGAGACATCTGCATATACTTTTTATATTTTCTGGTTGTATCCTAAAGAAAAGATGTTTATGCTCTCAAAACAATTGGGCAGCCTAAGACTTTCACACAGGTCTATGTGATTTTTTTTTAAACATTCCATTTTTTTTTAAACATTCCATTTTTTAAACATTCTGTAAACAAGAAGGCACCTTTGTTTCTTTTTTTTTCTGTGGTTGATCACATTTTCTTCATGGCTCTGACCGTCTCCTCGATGGCCTCTCGCGGCTCATTGGGCGCTGGGATTTTCAAGTCCGTAGGCTCCACCCCCCACACCTCGGTGGCGTACTCTGTGATGGTGCGATCGCTGGAGAACTTTCCTGTGGCTGCGATGTTTCTGATCACCATCTTGGTCCATTGAACTGGATCCTAGTTAAAGAAATAAAATTAGGGTGTTCTAAAAAAATTCTTAAATATAGGACACTATATCAACACTGGGGTTTTACTGTTTTCTCATAATGACGGAATTGAATCCACACACATACAATGGGTTCATGTTGCACAACACTTGTAACAATATTTTAAGTACAGAAAAAGGAGAACACAGGTTCAAAACCTGGTTGTGTTTAAACAACAAGAAAAGTAATTAAAAACATCATATTGGTTTTTAATACGCCCTGAGGACTGAAGACATCAGTGGTGCTTAATACGGTGAAATCTGTTTCTTAACTGCATTTAGATCAACAGACAAAAAAAAATTACTTGGAATAAAAAATACTGAATAAACTGGAACAAATCCAGAGAACTTTTTGCACACAACACTTTATAAAGTTATGTACAAGTCTGTTCTCACCTGGTAGAGCTGGCTGACCTTCTCTTGACATTTCAAGTAGGCTTCGAAGTCTGCAAATACTTTGAAACTGGGAAGAAATTAAACAATAAAACGAAAAGAAAAAAAACAGCAGTTTAAGTGTCAATATTCTGGGATCAACATCTTTAACTAAAAGAAGGTGATTTTTTAAAAATTCTTTTTGCTGACCGGTCAAACTTGAACAGCATGTTTGTGAGGTCTTTGAAAAGCTCTGGATTGTTGGGGCTGAAAAATCCACTGGTGATCTGATCCATGACTTTCTTCAGCTGTGGAACCTTCTGGTAGTAGGTCATGGCATCATATCTGACAGAGCATAAAAACTGAATTAAACATAATGCCAAAAATAATACAAATAAAAATACACGTTGTACCAACGAAGGTCACTTCTCTTACCCCTCTTTATCCAGCTGAGCCACATCCTCCACCCTCATGCCAAAGATGAACAGGTTCTCCTCTCCAGCCTCCTCCGCCATCTCCACGTTGGCTCCATCCATGGTGCCGATGGTCAGAGCTCCGTTCAGCATGAACTTCATGTTTCCTGTTCCTGAGGCTTCGGTGCCAGCGGTGGAGATCTGCTCAGACAGGTCAGTAGCAGGTATCACTGTAGGGGAGAAAATAATACGATAACAATTTAAGAAGATCACATCACTAAAACAGAGGGATGACGAGTCATGGGTGTGTGTCGCACCTTTCTCTGCCAGAGACACTCTGTAGTTCTCCAGGAAGATGACCTTCAGCTTGTCTCCCACCAGAGGATCGTTGTTAACCACATCAGCCACTGAGGTGATGAGTTTGATGATCACTTTAGCCATGTGATACCCTGGAGCGGCCTGTAGAGGGAGACATTGCAGGGTTTTTTTTCCAACATTGTACCACTTCATTTATCTGTACTGGAGTACAGAGTTGGTGCATTTACTACCTTCCCGCCAATGATCACTGTCCGTGGTACAAAAGCTGCAGCAGGATGCTCCCTAATGCCTGAAAAAAGAGGAAATGACTTCATAACTGGTGATGGACATTTTAATAAAGAAATAAAACCACATGACAATATGTGCAGTGACGTTTTTCAAACTGACTGACATTATGTAAGATGATGGGTGTTTCCCAAATGTGATTTCTGCCTCTGATTACTCTGCTGTGTTTGTTATAACTTGCAGCACACAGATGCTGGAATCTCACAGTCGTTGTTGAGCACTCACAGTTGTACATGTGGATGATGTGCAGGCAGTTGAGCAGCTGCCTCTTGTACTCGTGGATTCTCTTCACGTGGACGTCGAACATGGACGAAGGGTTGATTTTCACCCGATACTCCTTCTCCAGGAACTGGGCAAACTTCAGCTTGTTGTCCTGCAGACAGAGAAGACACGACACACACGTGACTAGGCAACAAACAAGTCCGACACTGAAGTATCGGTGTGTCCTGTCTGGACACGTAGACAAATCTAAAGTTGCAGAAGGATGTGATGAAATGCACAAAAATCATAAACAGTAATGAGTCTGCCCGTTCTAACTTGCAGGGTGAATGGTGAAAGTCACAACAGGACATGCAGGTTAGTGGGTATAAGGACTGAGTACTACTGAGAAGTATATGTCATCTAGTTGAAAGAAATGTAAGATTTTATGACAATGAGATCACGTGACTTTCCTAACATGGCTGCAGCGCTGAGTCAGATGACATGATAATCCCAGGTTAGTGTATTTATTTTCTTCTGACTCTCTTTGACTTTGGACTCAAAATTACTACAAATGTTTACCTCGTTTCTCTGTTTACCTCAACTGCTTTTGAGGGTGATTTTCCCCACATTTTCTTTTTTTTTTTACTGGATCACTATTTTATTAACAAATCATAAGGTCTTTAGAAAACTTAGAAATGTTGGAAAAGCTGTGACAAGTAAATGTAAGGGCATGAAGGTCAGAAGAAGAAGTAACAGTAGAAGAAAAACAGAAAAGAAAGAAAGAAGTTGAAGAAAGAAGAAGACAAAGTGAAGAAAGATGAAACACATGCACACACACACACACACACCTCCAAATTAAGATCAGTTAAGGAAGTGCTTACTTATTGCAAATAGTGAGTAATAGTGTGTGTGTGTTTTGAATGTGGACATATTGGGTCTCCCAACCACCATCTCACCCCCTCACTGCCACCATCACCACCAGCATCTCTAATGTAGGGTCTCATACCAGGGCAGAGCAGAGGTTACAGTGACGGTTACGTGTGGAGCCTAACTGATGTGTGAGTGACTCCTCAGACCAGTGGGTTCAGGTTCTCCAGCTCTGGTCTTCACCTGTTTGACTTTGGAGACGTCTCTGATGAACGCAGCATCGTTCACAAAGATCTTCAGCCTCTCCAGTTGACTCAGGTCCCTGACGTAATCTTCACCGATGACCTGGAACCAGACGCCTGGAGTTACATGTGCAGCCACAACAAACTGACAGTTGTTCAAAAATAACTTTGAATGCGTGATATTTGTACTGAGTAAATAAACGGGAGAGGACACTTTTCAAAGTGAGCTGGAACGACAGCCGGGAGCTGAAGAACTAAGGATTGTGGGGGATTTGAAGATCTCTTCTGTCTGTTTGCAGAGTGATCACGTTCAGATTTAGCTGCAGCTGCTCAGACAGACCTCAGCGATGAGCTCAGACAGTCCTGGGTTACACAGCAGCAGCCAGCGTCTGGGAGTGATGCCGTTAGTCTTGTTCTGGAACTTGTCCGGTTCCAGTTCACTGAAATCACGGAACCTGCAGAAGGTAAAAGAAAAGTCAAAGAAGCTGAGGTGAAAAAAAACTAAATTGACTGAGATTGAATAAAAAAACCTTTTTAAAAGAAAAAAATTGTTATGATAGTTATTATGAACATTTAATGTCTCTTTTTCTCCAAACATTTTAGATTAAAATTTCTTTTTGTCTCTTCTACAAAATTTAGTATAATTTTGCCTAATAATCATGGAATTAAAATCCACCACGTGGCCTTTTTGTCTTTCCAAAACCCCAAAAACGTGCCCTCCGCAGACTTTTTCTACGACTAACTGCAGAACTGTGTTCAGGGTCATGTGATCTCCAGACTCACACTTGGGTCTTGATGATGTTGGAGTGAATCTCAGCCACTCCGTTGACGGCGTGAGAGCCCACGATGCACAGATGAGCCATGTTGACCCTCTTACACCCGTCCTCCTCGATCAGAGACATTTTCCTCAGCTTTTCAAGGTCTTTGGGAAACATAACTGCGATTTTCTGCAGAGACACAAAGAAAACGCAGAAAAGGCGACTGTTAGTCAACCATTTCCTGCGGGTGGTAAGTCCACTGGAAGGTACCAACCGCCCTGACCAGGATTCGATCTTGTCCAGGAGGTGAACCCTGGGGTTCCACACCAATGACAGAGACATTGACTCTGGGCCAAAGCGTCAATCAAAATATTGCATATACTGCAAATATTTAAATCTTAAACATGAAAATATATATATGTATTGCACATGAGCAAAACACAAAATTGTATATATTGTACTGAGGAATAAGTATGGAGAGGTAGAAAATCAGGAAAACATATATAAGCATTTAAATAAAAGAGTGAAATATTAGTATAGGTTGGAGATATTGAAGTATTGCACTGTAGGAAAACTGAGATATTGTACAATAAACAAAAGTAAAAATAGTATTTATAATGCAACATTTGCAATCTAAATATTGCATCCTAAAAAACAATGCTAAAACATCCATTAAGAAATTTGCAAATAATGAACTACGGCACTTTAGAGAAATTGAAATGTTAAATGACTTGAAAAAAGTGGAGTGAAACAGTTACGGAGGTCGGGTGGTAATGCGAATAATAAACCAGAACAGCAGCTAGAGCTACAACAGTTAGAACCTACATCCAGGTGAGCCTGGTTGATCTGGTAGATGATCTGAAGATGTCTGGGCAGCAGCGTCTCCAGCAGCTGGACGGGCCATCGCTCCAGAGCCTCAGGCAGGACCGTGTGGTTGGTGTAGGCGAAGGTGCGTCTGGTGAGATCCCAGGCCTGCACAGACGGGTGGAGACGGTCGTTTTCCTCACTCCACATCAAAACTCATCATCACATTAATGCCAATGAAACTTTTCTAGGTAAATACACATAAATCTTAAATTTTTCTGGGCCTTGTTTATTGCTTTGACTATATTGTGCTACGTTCCCCAACCAGTGGGGCTGGGACCAGTAGCTGGCTCAGGGTCAGGTCGCAGAGAAACTATTTTTTAACTGTTATTTGTTATTACATCATTTTTATTTACATCAATTCACTTAAAAAGATGTGTCCAGAAATGACTTCCTATTATAACCACCTCTTTACACGTGGCAAGGTTTTCAAAATAAAAGCCTTTGGAAAGCTTTTTCAAAAGGTGTTAAGAGGAGACAGAAGATGATCCGTCAGTAGAACAGCACCTCTAGAGGTTTAATAAAGTCAACACCAGAGATTCTCTGGATTCAAACACTCTCAGTGTGTAATACACGTTGTTCAGCGCATCGTTTTATTTTTGCATGTCATTCATTGCTGGTCTTTGAGAATATATCTACGTCATAATATCAGTTTCTTCTGATTCCTAATCTCACCCACCGTGTCCCAGTCCAGCTTCTCGATGTCCACAAAGATCCTCATCAGTTCAGGGATGGCCATGGCTGGATGAGTGTCATTCAGCTGAATGGCAACCTGGAAAACAAGTGATGAAATATTACTGCAGAGACTGATAAAGGACATAGAGCTGTGTGGGGTTTTAATGTCATGTCATGATTTGGACTTTTTTACTTGTAATCATTGGACAGGACTCTCAGTTAGTGAGTTAGACAGCATTAAAAAACTCTTCTATAGCAAAATCTTAACCCTAATTTAATTTATAAAGATTAGTGCCACCGCATAAAAAAAAAACTATTCTCACCTTGTCTGGGAAACTCTTGAAGGACGTCCGTGCCGGCGTTCCCTTCTTTGTGGTTTTGAAGCGGCGGATGATGTCCTGCAGCGTCGCTGCCACCACAAAATATTCCTGCTTCAGACGAAGTTCTTTTCCTTCGAAGAACTGAAACACAGACTCTCAGCTGTGAATGATGGAAGTCTCAGATGTACATGTTTAAAGGAAAATATGTCATAGTCTCAGCTTTGATTTGTGACGTGACGTGACCTTACATTGTCGTTGGGGTAAAGAACGCGGGAGATGTTCTCTGCCAGGTTTCTGTCCAGCACTGCCTGTATGTAATCTCCAACGTTAACTGCAGGACAATAAGGTAAATAAATACAGTCTGTAAATATCCACGTCACTGAGCCTGTGCTGTAAAATAGGAAGCAAAGTCTGCAGAAAAAGAACAAAGAAAGAAAGAAGTAATTTTGCGACAGGGTTGTGGCCAGGTGTTACAACAGCTTCTGTCCTTCTTTCAGACTTGTCTTTCTCTGTTGTAACTCTGTGTGTGACACCGTCTTCGTGACTCACAGTCTCTGAGGTTGAAGTCATTGGGAGCTCGTGCTGACCACAGCCTCATGGTGTTGACCGTGTTGTTCATGTAACCAGGGATGGGCGTGTCGTACGGCATGGCCAACACAACCTGCACAGAGGAAAGTGTGAAAATTGGACACTTGAACACATCTTTATACTCTCCCACTTCACCTTTCCACAAACACCAAAAAGATGGCGCTAATCTCTGTCGGGGCCCTATCTCTTCCATGAACCGATCTGGCACTAAGACTGCACACTTTATTGATGTTACCAACTAAACTTTTTGCACCAGAAATTAAGAAGAAATCCCAGAGACCACGAACGTGGACACATTAGTAGAACTGGGATCTATGTTGGTGTTCCACCAGGTGGTTCTGGTAGAACCAGGATTCAAACCAGGAGCTGGGGTTGTGTAAGACATCAGTGTAACCATTGGACCGGGGGTGTCACACAAATATTTAACACGATGCTAACCAGAAATGATGAATTTGGACCACAACACCTCTTTCTTCAATAAAATAAATAAAAAAGAAACAATAAAAAAATTGAGAAAAATTGGAATTGGAGAATAAGAATTGTAAATGTACTGCAGTTCATATGGATGGGATTTAACCACTGAATTGAACCCGTCTTCTATAACTTTCACTTTAAGATAGCTATATTCTAAGATCAGCTCTGGGGGGGGGGGCACTTAAATTGATGAGGCGGCTCATATTTGGCCCATACTGTACTTGGAAAGCCCTTCAAAATAAAAGCTTATGATTGACCCACCTGAGTGTCCACCCATTTGGACCCGTCTTTGGTCTCCACAATCCTTCCATAGAAGTGGACTGGCAGCATGTACTCAGGACGTGCTTTCTCCCAGGGGTTTCCATGTCTCAGCCAATCATCTGCCTCCTCCACCTACACACAAAAGTACAAAGATTTACTGGGCAGCGGGGCCGAGTGGACAGTACATGTTCAGACTGTGATAAAAACGTTTGTTCACTTCAAAGAAGAAAAACTTAATCACTGAGTGTACTTCCATGTTTGCTCTGCACATTAGGTCTGCAAATAACCAGCCGTTCTCCACGGGCCAACAGCCTTTGGTTTAGAGTCTTCTTATCGCTGCACTGATTATTTTGTTTTTCTTCTAGAACTGACCGCCAGCAGATGAACTCACAGCAGTGAGTGGATCAGCAGGGCTTTCAGTTAATAATCAACCGGTGATGTAGTCTGACCTAATTCAAGTCCACTTTCTTTAACTTTGACCCCTGACAGATGAACAAAAGGTCAACAGGAGAATCCTATATTTTGAAGTCAAAGATAAGCGCACAAAAGGTCAACAGGAGAATCCTATATTCTGGAGTCAAAGATAAGCGACTCTTTGACCTCAACACGTTGGTGTGTTTGTGTGCAGGAAAATTCACCTTTTTTTTACTACTTCAAAAAAATAAGCTCCTTATAGTGATTCATTGAACAATGCAGGAGTACAAAGACAATTACGAACCTGCCAACCACCTCTTATCTTCTGGTTAAAGATTCCATATTCGTACCGAATGCCATAACCATAGGCTGCCAGACCCAGGGTGGCCATTGAATCCAGGAAACATGCTGCAAGTAGAACAGTCAGGGGTGAGTCAATGACCTATCAGATACCAATATATGTCACATATATATAACCTAGCCTAAAATAGCTACACTTGGGCAAATATTTTACCCCAAAGACTGAGCCAAAGCCCAAAGTTCCTGCCAGTGATGTTGCAGTGTCAAGTCTCACATACTTGGACTTGGATTTGGACTAAGAAAAGTTCAAGTCAACTCCAAAATGAGTTCCAGTCAAGTCTTTGAACTTCAAGACCAAGAAGCTGTTTGGTTTTGGTTGAGTTGAATTCTGGAGAATTAATGTCCAGAATTTCAAGCAGAATCTAAGTTCAGACCCGACAGCATCATGTTTAAACAGGAGTCATCTTTACTGCTGTCCAATGAGCTGTGAGAGTTCACCAGCTGCAACAACTATGACTATTGCAACATATTTATAAGATCACAAAAAGGTAAAAAATTCAAGTTAAGTTTCCATCAAGCCTTTGTTATGTTCCTCCTCAAAGACACAAGCGAACATGTAATGTGTCAAGCCTTTGTTATGTTCCTCCTCAAAACCAAGACACAAGTGAACATGTAATGTGCAGAAAGGAACAGACTCAAACACCTGACTGAATGACAAATTAAAGGCTGGTTTCCTGGAACCGAGGAGGAAGTTCACTGACTATTAGCCCATTCTCAACAGTCAACACAGTCGTAACACTCTGTGGCTTAGTGGGATTTAAATGACAACTGCCAGAGTCAACAAAGTATCATGAAGTTGGGATTTGATTGATAACAAAGGTTGGGATGTGTTTATGTTGTTTTGTGATGTCATCGTCCGTCTGTTTCTGTCTACCTGCCAGTCGCCCCAGGCCTCCATTCCCAAGGCCTGCGTCCTCCTCCATCTCCTCCAGCTCCTCCATGTCTAGACCAAGCTGCAGCAGAAGACGACACAAGAGCACAACAGTTGTTATTTGATATAGAAAGGTTGAGTCTGTCCTCTGTGGTAGGGGTCAGTAGGCCTGTGTTGTCTGTTAGCCTCAGTCTGACCTGGTAAATGGCTTCATCGCAGGCGTTCTGCAGCCCCAGGTTGATCATGGTGTTTTGCAGCGTCCTGCCCATGTAGAACTCCAGGGAGAGGTAATACACCCTCTGAGTGCCATGGAAAAGGAAAACAAATTGTTTACATTTGAACAGGAAGTCATTTTTGGAGAGCAGTTTGGGTATTTTTGCCAAGTAGGTGCAGAAATAAGCTGCAAACTGGAACAAACAGAGCTTTTTTTCCTGCAGAAAATGTCTGTATAAACATGACGCAATGACCTACAACTACAGTACAGTTTGGACTCTGTCACAGTCTTACGCAATGGGCAAATATTGCACATAAACTACTTCCCATAGTTCAGTAAACACACCAAGGTTTGGTGGTAAAATCAGGGTTTTTAAACATTGATTTTTAAACATTTTTAAACTTAATTGTAATAATTGAAAAAAGGTGTGGAATTCCTCAGGAGACTTGGCTGAAACTTGATCTAAACATCAACATCAGGTTAAAGAGGAAAACTCATCTCACAAGTTAAATAATAATAATAATACTGACCCAATAAAAATCCATTTCACGTTAAACCATATCACAGTAAAATAATAAAAATGTTGTATTGAATTTGTCTGTATGGAAGCACAACTATTTCTGTAAGCATTCTCTTTGCTAACTCGTAAATTTGTTCTTGATTATGCCCATTTCTATTATGTCAACAGTAGGAAAATGTGCTGTTAGCCTTCAGCTGGTTTGTCATCGGCGAGGAATTTAAATATACATAATTTTATCTTGCAGTTATTTTGAATTTGAAGGCAGGAAATGTCAAAGACATAAAACATCATCTCCACATTAGTAATAGATCTGAACTCAGATTAAAAGTCCTGAAATGGTGTATTTAGTTTGAACTCAGTTCTGGCTGAAATTACAACAGTTGTCACGGTAACATCAGGACATCACTCAGGACAGTGACTTCATTCTTAGTAGTTTGACTCTCTGTGGTTTCCTCATTTCTAGTTACATAGCCAACTTCAATTTCCTGCATCCAAGAAACTCAAAAAGTACACTGACCAGATCTATGTTCAGTAACAGTACCTCCTGGTGACCTGTAATAAGTATTTTGCTCAGAATCCACTCAATATATTTTTTCACCTTTCGGTTTTCATGTCTC